CAGACGGACACATGACTACAGGCGTGTTTGTGCTACAAGCGCAAGCACGGCCGCGCCCGGGTCCTCGCACGCAGCCCGCAGCCAGGACGGCGGGGGCTGCGGGGAGCCCGGGCCGGCTGCGCGCCGCGGGGGGCTGCGGAACCTCGCCGACCCTTCGAGCCCCGCACCGACCACAGACCAAAGCGAGTATTTACCTGCCGCCCGGGGGCCGCGCTCTGCCTCTGCTCCCAGGAGGGGCTGCCGGCGAGCAGCCCACGGCCCCTCCTCGCCGCCGCGCCGCTGCCGGGCCGCGTCCTGCCGCAAAGCCGTCCCGGCCGCCGCGGGAAACGGCTCCGCGGCACCAAGGTTCCTGCCGCCGCCGCCGCCGCCGCCGCCGCCCGCCGCGCTCGGGGAACCGCGGGCAGCGGTGCGCAGCGGCGAGCGGTCCCCCTGCGGCTCGGCGACAGCGCGGGTGGCGGAGGCAGAGCCGGTCGGCGGCACCCCGCGCGGATGCAGGAACGCGCCGGGTCCTACTTCCCCTTAAAAGTAATGATGGAAACACCTTCAGGTTTTGCCGTATAAGCAGAAGGGGTAACTCTGAACCTGGCATGCTTAAAAGCAGCTGAGATTCGTAGCGGGCTGATTGTGACTTCAGGAGAGATGGGTAACACAAACTCCTAAACGCATTTTTACCCATCCCAAGTGCAAGCACGCTTACCAAGGCGTGAAGGCTGCAGGGAGCAGCACGGCGGTGCGTGGATTCATATTGCCACAGGGCAGCAAAAAGAGCTGAGGCACGACCTGTTACCCAAAGAAAAGAAAAAAGTTACACAACTGTAACAAATATCTGATTTCGGTGGTGTGTGGCATGGCACCCCGCCTGGCAGCGCAAAAATAACCTCACTGGGAAAAATACCCATGTGTGGATTAGGGATGTACCTGAATCTTGACAGCTGGGGTGCGCAAACCAATTCTGAGTTTTGCCTGTACGCATCTAAAACCACAGGCACTGTGCTGCTTCACTGTGGCCCAGGGCAGCCAGTGGTACTGCGCTGAGCCGGGCAACAGAGGCAAGGACAGTGCTCAGATGTAACTGCACGAAAACATGGTGCTGAGCTGAGTCCGTACAGAGGATTCACAACCTACAACAAAAGGCAGGTGTTAGGTTAGCTTGCATCCACACACACCAACCAGTTCATGTAGACTGCAAAACGTGACTGGCACGATTAATAAAGTGGTGTTCATACAGGTTATCTCAGTTCAGTGACAGCATGGAGGAATGAGAGCCATTGGCAGAAGAAAATAAATACCTGATTATCCAACTGAAAACTAATTAATCTTGGCCTTTACAAATAATGTATTACTTGAGCACCGTACATCTCAAGTCCTGCTCCTAAAAATGAATGGCTTCTTGACTGAGTAACAGTCGAAGATTGATCTTTTAATTCCAATTCAACTGTTTGCACTGCAAGCCCTCAAGGATGAGGCAGTACCATCAGTTGCCATGTTATTTATTGCCATCCAGCCTTTCCTGGAATGGTACTGAGCCATTTATCTCTTGGGCTCCTCAAAAGTAAAGAAGATCTCTAGGTCTCCTGGGTCTGACGATGCTTCAGGATGTTGCCTCTCTGCCAGCAATAAGTACAAGTCCCCTTCTAGGCCAAGCATACTCATGCAGGAGGCACAGGGCATGCTGGTTTGTCACTGCGGGGACACAAATGTCAGGGAAGCAGAGCAGGTAGGCAGTGTGGGCTGAGCTCAAAGAGAAGTGTAAAATCCATCCCTCCCTCTGATCTCACTGCTGTGTTGGAGAGAAATTGCCTGTGTTTAACATTACATTATGCTTAGATAGTTTTCTGGGAAGTGGCCCATCTACCATTTTCTACCTGTAGCTGAAAAAAGTGATTTCAGACTGCAGGAGGACATAGATGGCATTTCTTTTTAAGGGAGGACAGCTGAGAGGCCTTGATCAAGAACAATCAGCCCTCTACTCAAAAACAGACTCCCAGAGACACTTGGCATCCTTAAATCCAGCAGGACAGTAACCACATGCTGAGAACCCAAACCAATCTCAGTTGTCTTAGCAGCCAAGTCAAGTCCCAGGCATTCAGTGCAGCCAGGTACTATTTCTGCCCCCTCTCTTTCCTACAGCCCAAGCATGTCCCACGGGGCTCTGCAGGACCCCATTTGCCAAACACATTCAGGCATTTACAATAGTTTGTGTTGTGCAGTCCCCAGCACTTTGCTATGCAGGAGATGGGAAAGGCACCTCCTGCCAGGGCTTCATGCCCTGTCAGATGCTTCCCTGGGGCCAGCCAGCTCCAAGCACTGCCTGGTGCACTGTAGGGTCTAGGAAACACTGTGTTTCCCAAAGAAAGAGAAGGAACACATAAAGAGGCTGACGCTGGTCTGATATTTTGTCCTTCTCAGCTCCCTAAGGAACATATTTCCCAGCTCTACATACTCTTAACTCTGTTCTTACCTTCTGGAAATCTTTTGAAAATGTACTGGGATGGGCAACACTTTCCATTTCCTAGGCAAAATGCAATTAACATGCACCTTTCTTACACTGGCTGCTAAGGAACAGGTTCAAGTTTTAAATTCTATCTGAGAAGTATTTTTTAAACAACTGTCACCTTTTTATTGAGAGCAGGAAAAGATGCCATCCCCTTCCTAAATCACATTTTATATCTGTGATCCATCACATATCCCTCTACCACAGCTTAAAACAACTGAATTGGAGAACAGGTGAATCTGCATTTTCTTCCTCTAGTCTGGTAGAGAATTATCTTCCTGCACTCTGTGTGCCAGTGGAAGAGCATAAATGACCAACATTATCCTTAAAAGCTGCAGGATAACACACTAATTCTGAAGGAATATTAAACTCGGACAAAAATTGTTATTACTATATATATGTACATATATATTTAAAAATGCAACCTCCATATTTTGCAATTTTCATCATTGAAACATATCACCTTCCTCCAACATGAAATCATGAGCTGTTTCATGATGTACTGGTTAAAGATATACTGGTTAAAGACATGGTGGTGGCTATCCAACAGAACCGTCCATACAGCCTGACTTCCAGCTTTGTGCCCCTTGCTCATCAACCATCAACATGTGGCCCAAAACTGAGCAGAGTGCTTAGAGCCATCTGGTGGTTAACTGGACGAGTAAACAAATTGTGCCCTATACGTCTACACGATGAGACATAAAGGAAGTCATCTTCCTGCTACTTGGAACGTCTCAAATGTCAGCTTTCTCTTGGCTTTTAGATTATGATTCTGCAAGTTTAGAGAGTTAACACAGAAAGAGGGAGAAAATGGCTCTGTTAACACTAGGAACTTAGCTGCTTTCCTTGTGGAAGAGTTTGCAGGACCAAGTGTTCTTCAGATCTGAACTTCTCCCATGAGTACTGCAGAATCGCCTTCCAAAGACCAGATAATTGTACCATGCATTCCCAAGTTTGGCTCCTGTGATAAGAATCCAAATATCTTGCTCAAACTGGGAAAATTCTCAAAAACCCTTTGGGCGCATCCTTTGCTGGCATAATGTAGAAGGAGCAATGCCCGTTTATTGTGGCCATTGACAAGCTTGCCAGTTCACACCAGCTGAGCGTTAGACCCGCTGTCTTTCCCCGCTGCCTCTGAAGAAGGAGCCTTTTTTCACACGTTTTAATTACTGACTCCCTACATGGAAGCTATTACCTCACAGAAAGGCTGTTAACTGGCACGTTCAGCACAAGATGAAGCTTTTCCGATAATTGTTCCTTGAGTTCATGTTTGTGAAAATAAATATCATCAGATGATTAAATTAAACACCGCAGCCAGCCCAGCTATACACTATTTTCACTTATCATGCAGAAGGGGAGATCAAAGAGAAAGGCTCAGGTAGAGTTATTCCAACTCCTCCAAGTTTGGTTGATAGCTACCTATTGAACGCAGTAATTAGCTTCCTGCTTGGGGTGTGCAGCACAAAATTAACCCTCCCAAGAGTGGCCAGTATAGCCATTTCCTTGCTCTGTAATCAACTGGATGCAGAGGAACGACCATCACCTAATCTCCTCTGTATGGTAAAGCAGCAGCACAGCCCGAGTCTGATTTTCGAGACTCTTGGGCCTCTGTCCCCTTTGGTGCCTTGCGTGGGTGCAGGAGGAGAACTGTGCCTGGGGAACCCCAGGAAAGGCTGAAGGCACTCCTCTTCTTCAGTCCTGCGGGGCTCCTACCTCCCTGCTCTTCCCATCCTTCCCTTTTGGCGAGCAGGCGAGCCCGTCTCTGCGCTCCTGCAGCGAGAGGCAGAGCGGCTCTCTCAAATTCCCAGGCTCGGGCCCTGCTTAAATAGGGAGATGATTGTTGCAGAGATGGAGCTTCGCCCAGCATTTCCCTGCTTTGCTTTCTCGGGCCGTGGAGGGCAAGAGAGGCGAGGGAAGCGGTGGGCAGCGTAGCCCCGTTCCCACTGAGAGCCCGCCGTCCTCCCCGAGAGCGCACACACCCGCGCAACCAGAAAGCTCTGCTATTCTTCTGCTAATGGGATTGGCACCGCTTAAAGCGGTCTGCGAGGGTATTGTCTGCAACCACAGCAAGAGAAACATTATTCAAAGGCCATTCAGGCCCCAAAAGAAGCGGCAGAGCAGAGTAATTATCGGAGACTCTCCATTAACGAGGGCATCTTTGCTCTTTGTCTGTGTTGGTTTAATAAGGGCCGCTAATGGGGCCGGGGGAGGGGCACACTAATGCTTCTAAACAAATCTCCTTCCCTTCCCCCCCACTCCCTGTGAGGAGAGCTGTCTTTATGGGCACTGACAGCAGAGCTGGGAGTTACCATATTGCAGAGTGACCTCCGGGAAAACTTAGTGTGAACCCAGCCGCTTTCAGCCCCATCCCCAGCGAGCCGCCGGGAGCACCGCTTGGGTAGCTGTTCTCTTTTTAGCCTTTCCGTATTTCCCGGTCCTTGCTAGGCCCCTTTTATGCTCTCCCCCCGCCCGACCTCTCTCATGTCATGTCATCTTGTGACCCTTCATGGCTGGACACAACGGCGCTGAGTGGCAGTAATGAGGGACGACAGTGCAGATTAAGTTCTCGAAGCAAAACCTGGGGCTGCTGTCCTTTATCCAGCCGCTGTGACTGGGAGATGCTGCTGGGAATGCAGAACCAGAGCAGCCTCTGCTCTCCATAGGACTGGAGAAGGTAGGCTGGGATCTAGCACAGGCCAATGTCTCCTGCCTTCTGGCAGCGGTCACTTTTCTGAGATCCTTCAGAGCCACATTCAGGAGGATGGAGCTAAAATTCTTCTGAAGGGTCGTAGACTGTTCCCATCTTCAAACACCAGTTATAAGGGACACACTTCAGCGGCGGTTTACAATGTTACAGGGTCACATGCACACTGGTCCCTTAAACAGTGAAATGTGGACAAGAGGTCTCAGGAGGTCTCTGCAAAAGACAGCATTCAAACGGTGAACTGTAATGATACACGCACATGTGAATAAAGAATGATATAGCTACAGTATTCAAGGTGGTGTGGATACAAGGTTGAGAATTGCTAGACTCATTTTTAGCCAGTGAGAAAACTAAAGAACAGTAGAAGGAAATTATTCCCCGGAGTTTGTGCAGGTCTTTCACTAAAGCCAAGCCCTGGACATTGTGCTATTCTACCTCTCTTTCAAATGATACACCCCTCACAGAGGGCTGTACAATGAGCGCACAGACCACAGAGACAAAGCAGTGCCTGTGTACCTGCACATGACAGTGGTCTCAAGAGCTGGGCAGCCACCCAGTGTCAGTGCTACATCTTTTGTTATGAGTAATGGTTTTATTCAGCCGCAGCACGGAATGACAAACTTCCTCGTACAGAAACCCACCCAACCCTCTCTCCATTTAGGCAAATGTCCTTGTGCTAAAGGTTTATCTCAAGAAGAAAAAGAAAGATATGTGGAAACTCCCCACATTTTAAGCCACAAGGCTCTGGTTTGAAGACACAGACTCCATAAGATTTCACCCTTGTTTCCTGAGGGTTTGCTAGGTTTGAAGTTTTCATGATTTTGGCCTTTTCCTTTCAACATTTCACCAGTAACTGCATCTTTTGTAACAAAAGAAACTTTTCATAGATGCTTCTCTGACTCATCTCTATAGGATCAAAACATCTCAGAACAACCTCGCAAGTCAAAGAGGGAGCAATCACCCTCTACAGACAGAGAGCTAAGTCACAGGGGAATTAAATAACAATACCCGAGGTCATTCTTGCCATGGCGAAGCTAGGAAGTGGATACTGTTCTTGCTCCAGAGTCTTAACTGCAGTGTTCCAAGATTAGTGGTATTTCTCCTCCCTCTTTTGAAATGTCTGGAGGATTACACTCCTAAAACAGAAAATCAGTCCTGTTTTCAGCAGGACTTCAGATTAACTTCATGTTAATCACAGTTTCTGTTCATATGCTCTTTTTCTTTTTAGAATAATAAGCGTTAAATATATACAGAGGAACTGCCTTTGCCTATGGATTTTGCAGTCTAAGCAAGGAAGTTAATACACTGATGTGTAAAGCAATGGGTTACTAGGCCCACATGATCTGGCATCTGACTGATGTGGGTTTTGCTTTATAAGTGTTTTTAAATGTCATCCTTGTTTGCCACTAGCAGATAATACAGTCAGATTTGTTGCAAATGAAGACAGTATTTGAACAAAATCGAAAGAGTGACTCAGAAGAGAGAACTGAGATCTTGTTACCATCCCAAGTGAGGGGAAACAAATGGAGTCATCAATAAAAAGGAAAAAAGGAGTTAGTTCATAGCTTAGAAGATACGGGTACGACAGAAAAAGGCAAAAGCAATTGCAGCATGGGAAAGGCAGACAGAGATTTGGGGAGTTTTGAGACCTCACATGAAGGAAAACTTGATGAGCAGCTTGTGCATAGCAGTTGAATGGTCCTGGGATAGAAGGGAGGAGAGCTTGCAGCAGTGACAGAGGTAGGACGGGCAATGAGAGGCTGGTTAGACTGCTTCTTGAAGCTTCAGCCAGAATATTGCACTTGAAGGTAAGGCATTTAGTGTGAAAGAGATAGGAACACAGTGACTAAAGTCTTGGAAGTAAAGTTTCAGCCTGAGAACCATCACCCTGTCGGCAACAATTTGTCCAGTTTATTCTCCCTCAGGTGCAGAGAACAGGGGGTCACTGCATTGGACCTCATCAAGTCAGTTCTATTTAGATTTGCCCTTTAACATGTATACTTCAGTACAGGGATATTTTCTCCCCAGTTTCCCCTTATCAATTCTGCTAGTATTTCCGGCTAACAATGAATGCAAGTGGATTACTTCTAGGTTGCCCTGCTTCACTCTACTGCTGTTATCCTGTCACACTTTAATCAAACGATCTAACTGAGATCCCATCTGAAGCCCACTAAAACAATGAAGAGATCTGCACTGGCTTTGCAGTTCTGGATCATGCCCTGAATTGTGTTTGAGCTCATTAATATAGATTTGAGCAATTTTTTCTATTGCATGTGCCATGAAACCAAGGGGAAAATGAACAGGAGTAAAGAGAAGTAAAAGATTCCTTTCCAGAAAATAATTTGTGTATGTTTGCAATCTACTGCAAGCAATAGGCATATTAAAATATAGAACAAGAAGCAACTATCAGTCTGCAAGCGCATCCCAGTTTAGTTCAATGTAACTTCCCTGTTTTGTCTTTGCATCCTTTCAGCTCTTCTTCCTCCATGAAATAGGTCTTGCGTTGCCAGCTTAGCAAAAACCTTTCTCTCTGATGCCCTTGACTGGCACTTGCTGTGTGTTCCCTCTCCTTCTTATTCCCGCTGGCCATTCTCCTGGCCAACAGGAGTGGGACAGGAGAGAAGTACTCACCCACTTAGCAGCCAGGTAGACCAAAGCCCCACAAAAACAGGGGAGACAGCAGCAGCTGTGTGACATGTTTTGCCTGTCCATGCAGTCATCCTGCACCCAAAGCCTAGGCCAGCCCCTCAACACAGCAGCACAACTTTGTGCAGCCTCCAGCCACCTCAGGGATTTCTCAAAGGCACTGCTTCCCTGCAATACAGACGCAGCCTACGTGAGCTCCTTGCTGGGCAACAAATACTGTAGGAAGAAAATACTGATGCTGGAGTAAGATCAACAGACAGATGTTATACAACAATGACTTCCAGTCCCAGCACCCCTGAAAAGCTTTGCGTAGAGAGACATGAAACTGAACCCGTCTAGAAGAAGTCTCAGGTGCCAGAGCTTTCACAAATGTAATCTGCTGGTTCTACTTCAAAAAATGTCTCTAACAACTGGCTATTGCTAGTTTCTCATGCTAGAAACTTGCTCTTGTTTTCTCCTCAGAAATTACATCCAGACCTTCAGTGTCCACCTTGGCACTCCTCTACAGTGAGTGACTCTTCATCTTAAAGCTAATTCAATTAGCAAGTAGCAGAGGAAGAAAAGAAGCAAGATGTCATTGCTGCTGCATTCCTGAGAACTCTGGCTGATGCTATAGCCATTCAGGTACAGGTTAGATAAGAGTTAGAGCAGCCCCAAGGCTCTTTTTCTCTAAGGTATGAGAAGGAAAGGCATAAATGTGACCCACAGGTATACTTTCTCCATAGCCTGAAACTTCTATACAAATACTGTCCTGAGAGCTAAAATCCTCTTTACTCCATGTACCCACCATTGTACTCATGTTCAGAATTCGTACAAGATCAACCATTTTGTAAATCCTGTATGAAGGAAAACTCAGTGAACTATAATAGTCTCGGTCTTTTCAATTTTGACTTCTATTGTTAGAGTACAAATAAAAAGAAGAGGATAAAAAAAGGCTGACAACGTTTACAGGAAATCCAGCTGAACAAAAGCAATGCCATCGGTGTTCATGGAGATAAACTGCTTACCTGATAAAGGAACATGACCACCTTAGCCTGAGGAGTCTTTACAGTGTCACCTACAATAAAGCAGGTAACAGCATCATTTGGTACTTACTGCATCCTTTAAGAGTAAAGCCCAAGCAATCTGGCTTTATGTAATTGCATTACAAGATACCGAGAAGAAAAACTTCAGCCCTCTGCACCCAGGTGTACCCTAGTACCTTTTATTCCACAAGCTAGACTGAGCTGTTAACCATACTAATGATCAGTACTTAATGTCGGGGAAACTGTAGTACTTAAACCCAGGTATCTATGAAGTCAACATGCTGCGATGCCTTCCCTATCTGATACACTGTACTTTCACCACCATGGCCCTTACAGTGAAGAGCAGACTAAAGGCTCCCAGTTACGTTGATGCTGGCCTGACAGCACCCCAAAGCCCCTCAGAAGGACAGAGCTCCCTCCTTCCTGCTGTGGAAAAAGGGAGAAAAATGACCCTGAACACTTCTCACCCCTGAACTGGAAAGGGTCAGAGCAGCCTCACACTTCCCTCCAGTGGTATGGCACTTGTTTATCTTGCATTAAACACTTCACGTTTAGAATAAACTAAGTTAGAAGAAGAACAGTTCAGCTGTATTGCGCAGGAGATGGCTATTGGAAGTCTGTGTTTATGCAAGCCACCAGAACCCTTGCCGGAGCGTGCACTTGTGCATCGCTGCCCTCTCCCGGGCAGATCTGCCCCTGCACAAACACAGAGCCCTGGCTCCCAAAACAGCAGAGCGCTTGACTTTGCTTTGCCTCAGGCTCTGGAGGAATATGGTTGCCCACTTACTAACCCTCGCGCTGACACTTTCAGTAACCTCACTGAGCATCACAGCGACAGCTGAGCTGCTTCTAAAGGAATCAGGATTTGTTAAGATGTAATTAAACAGGACACAGGTAGTGCTCACGAGGATTAGAAATTCACATGTCTAGAACTAAATCACTGTTCTATGCAAAGTTACCTTAGCTAAGATATTTAAGCTAGCCCATTCCAAGCGTGGCTGTGCTTTAGCCCCCAAAGACCTTCTAATGGCTGATCTGCTCTCAACTGCCCCATTACAGTGATAGATCCCTAGCACAAAAAAACATACCACCGTGAGGGAGGTGGCAAAAGAGTTAGCCAACATGTACACACACACACACACTGTCTGCACATGCATGCACTCTCTTCTTTCACCATCCAGCCCCTGCACACAGCAATGCTGTAATGCTGCTTATGCTCTTTCTACACTTCCTTCCCATATTAGGGCCCTTCTAGGGCACAAATCCTGCCAGCTTCCTTTCCAAATCTTCTGTTCTGGCTAATTCTCTCTGCGGAAACCCGGTGAGGCGTTCCTCAGCTCTGGCCAAGTGAGAACCAGCCTTCTTTACAGCCTGCTGCTGGCTGTCCATCTTGTTGAGGTGCTTCTGGGGTGCCTTAGGTCCACCAGGCTGGCACAGCCTTCATTGTCTCAGAGAAGACCTTAAGTCCAAGATACATTTGCCTTTCACACTCGCAAACCCACTGAGCAGTTGTTCACTGAATATGTACCTCATGGGAATGCATGCAAGGCGTCTGCTGTCAGCTCCTCCATACCCTGACAGTGGCCTCCCTCCAGCTCTATGACTGGGAAGAGGGCACAACACAGAGAGGCTTAGGAAGCACATCCCTTAGCTGTGTCCACCCAGCAGCCTCTCCTAACTGAAGTATTATTAGATTGGGCAAGAAGATACTGTGAAAGGTCTGCCTTTGTGCCTCAAGGAACTGGCTGAGCACAGAAACACAGCACATCAGGACTTCTCAAGAACACTATGTGATGCTTTGATGCCTACGTGCAAGACTGATGCACAACTGAATTCATTATGGCAGGTAGAGTCTGAAAGCTGTGCTCTCATGAGTGCTTCCAGTGTTGCAGTCCTGTATGTAATAATAGGGATATAAGAGGGCTTATTTCCTTTAAGAAAGTTGTGAAGATAAATGCAGCCATGACAGAGAGGTGCTTGGATACAGAAGAAATTGCAGCTATAGCATTTAATTATCTGAGTGTCCCTGAAAGCCATGTGTAATTTCCTAAAGCGGACAAACTCAGCTCTTCCAATTTTGCCAGTGATGGGAAGAAGTGCATTACAGTCATCAATACCACTTTACTTCCCGTCTGTGTTTCCTCAAGAATTTTCCAAGACACCGTGTTTCACTCTGAGTGCTCAAGCCATGAGCTCCCTCTAGTATCTAAAAAGATTAATGCAGTTGATACCCTTACCATCCTAAAGGAACAGAGAACAAATGTAAGGAAGTTTCAGTAAGATGAGGGAATTCTGCCCCTTTTCTTCGTTTTGGTAAAAGAAAAGAAAACAAAAATCCTTGAAGTTAATTGCGTGCACATACCTAAACACTGGCACCTTAAGAATTAGGAGGCAAATGTGTCCACAGGACAAGAAAAGGCCAGATCTTATTTTATATCCTCAACTGTGAAACACAGGTATAAATGGCAGAAGCCTAGCCTGGGCATCAGCTTTCACAGGAAAACAGTGCAAGCTGGCAAGTTGATGATTCTGGACATGACGATCTCTATGGAGACACCACTGTGCTCACTGCAAAAAGGAGCATTGTCACCAAGGAGGTAAAAAGGAGGTAACAAAAAATAATGAACTTAGATAACTGCGGGTGAGGTGGGGTGTGTGTAAAATAATCCTTTAGGGCATCTCAATATTCATGTTGGGTTTTTAAAAACTCTTCCTCTAGTCATCACTTCCATTTTACAGCATTTGAGAGCAAAACAGAGGATTCTTTTGGTTGTGCCAGAGCTCCTCTTACCCAGGAGTAAAACCTAAATGGTGTCCCATGAGTGAATTATGTGTATGAACCCCCTGCTAGGGTTTAGATCTTGCACCTAAAGACCTAAGAGTGTGTTGCATGACATCCTCTTTCCCAGACTGAGATGTAGCAAACATTTTTTGGTGGCATCTGGGATTGGTTTTAGAGGTGGAAGGTGACAAACACAAACACATGCTGAAGCATGTTTATCTCTGCTCTACTGTCTGCACTGTTTGTACTGTACCAGGGGCTCAAGCAGCTTCTCTCTGTGGCAGAGCAAGTCTTTCAAAACACAAGAGAGGGCAAAGAGTATGAAACAGAACGAGGCAAAACTCCTGGCCTGCAGGCGATCTGGGTCTGCAGCTGCACATAGTCACTGCACAAAATTGCAAGCCAAAGTAATACGTAAAAGCAACAACCTTTACACTAGCGCTCAGTAGTTAAAAGAGAGAGCTCCTTCTCCCCTGTTCAGGAGAAAGCCAAACAGCAGAACCCAGGACAAGAACTTTGCTAGGCTTTGCAGATTTCAGTTGTTTGCAACACTTCCTAATGACTCTGCTGCACTAGTGTCTGTTCTGTTTGATATCAAAGCCCTGTCCTTGACATACATAACATGTCCATCAGCGAGAGGGTTCCTTCATGCTGCCAATATTCCAGAACGATCAAATATCTATTAAACTCACTACAGAGTTTCAGTTTTGAAGAGGATGTGCAAGACTAATCTGTCCGATCAAACTGGTCCAATCTTGCTGGGAGGACCACAGACTTCATTCCATGCTGCAAGTTACAGAATAAGACTATATGAAGGGAGCAGCAGAACCTCTGCTTCTTCTTTCATATAGTCCGATATGCTTTATCTTCATGCACTTGTGCTCAGATTGTTCCAATGACCCACAAAAGTGGCAGGTCTGTTGTGCATGTTCTTAGGGAAAGAACAGAAGAGTGCTGAGCAGGGATAGTGAAAGAGGAGCAAGTGTCCTCCTGCCTTCCCTCCCTATGCCAGGGCAGGGGGAAAAGACGCAAAGGGTGAAAGCGCAGGGAAACAAGCTGATGTGGAGAACCAGGTCGGGTCAGGCTTAGATAAGCACAAGCCTAGCAGTGCAAATGCTCCAGAAGAAGTGGTGCCTGCTGGTATTGCTTAGTGCTCATCTACATTTACAACTTTGGCAATGCCTCTCCTTCATTCAGTGTTACTTTTCCTGATTCCTGATTTTATTAACATTTCTTAAAGTTAAATATTTAATTAGAAATAGCCCCCAAATTCTTCTATAATGCGTGTCAGCTTGGATTCTATATTCTACTCAAAGGTAAAACCATCTATTTGCTGAGTATGTGACTAACTTAGACTGTAGATTTCAATGGCTGCCTGATCGTTCAAGGTAACAGCCATGCTAAACGTTTAAAGTTCTTTCAGCACAGAAGCACGTTAGTTACTGCTTCAGGAAATACATATTTTTAAATGACTGTCTTTGTAAAGCAGCTGTGTAGACCATAAACAGTTCTAAGGTTCTTGTCTCGTCAAGCTATCACATGAAAGCAAGCTATTTGCTTTTTACAGCATGACTGAAAATGGCTTTGTGCCAACAGTTTATAGCAAGCTATCATCAATGGCTGATAAAACGATACAGTTACATGTATGTGCACACTGTGTGAGGCTGTACATACACAAACTTCAGTCTTTTTGCAGCCTTCAGAAGTATAGCTACTGCCTAAACTTGCCGTGTCTCAATGTGTAGCACTGTAGCTATTGTTTTCTGAACAGCAGCACCTTCATCCTCTCTTTTGCATGACCCTGCAGATGACAAATGTTTCAGCAGGGCATAGACCTTCTAAAGACCCTATAATCATTATGAAGTCAGTTATCTACTGACACTCAAACCAAAGAAAAGTCTAATAAAAGCCAGCAGAAATGGTTTTGGATGCCTCACTGTGCTAATTCTCTAATCCTGTATGATACTGCTTGTCCCTGTTGGAACTAGATGATCTAAAGGTCCTTTCCAACCCTAACCATTCTGTAATTCTACGATTATGTCATAAACAGGGATTATGACTTCAAGATGGGAATTAGCAATAAGAACCCACCACCCAAAAAACCCAAAACCTGGCCTGTTTTCATCACACAAAATATCGAAACACCAACTCAAGAGAATGTAAATATAGAAAAATAAAAAATATTTTTATTAAATATTAAAATCCCCCAAAGAATGGAACTTTTCATCCTAGTGGTTTAAGTCAATGTTAACGCTCCTTTCTGGCACAGATCAATGGGACTGCTGGGCTAGTCAGTCAAACTGTCACTGAAAGTTGCCAGTTACGGACTATTTCCAGATGAAGTGCAAGGGATGATACCCTCCCTAGATCCCCCGAGAATATCCTGTTATTCTTTATCTCACGAGTTCATGGTGGTACTCTCTATGTAAAAGTTTACATCACTCCAACATTAAAACAGCAACATAGCTGTAGATATTCTAAATTACCATTTTAAATAACATCTAACCTAAGTACTACTTTGTGGACATGTCCTTTGCAGATTAACTATGTATTTGGAAAGAATGGCTTCTTTCTCTCCACTTTAAACCACTGTTTGAATTTTTTAATTGGGAGCCCCTTTTTCACAAAGAATGGAAGAACTCTTAAAATTATCTTCTTTGTAGCACCCATACTGTTGTGTGTGTACCTTTATCACCCACCCTGAGAATGAATGCAGCAAGAAAAACTTCCTCACATTTCCTATTAGAATGCTTTAAAGCAATTCAGAAAGTTGGCTTTAGAAGGGAAACTTTCTTGAAAGATGTATCAGCTAATGCTAGCTTCTGTTCTCAGACATTACTACTTCTGGGCACCAACCTAAAACGAGATTCTGTCATCACAGAGGTAAGCAAATTTCTAAATCATTACCAGCTGCTTGGATTTGAAGCAATAATCTGAACTATTTCTAGACACGTTAAGCATGTATTGAGAACCTAATAAATAGAATACTTTTCTGTTAAAGGACAAGCATTGTAGAATGAAAATGATCGTATTTACCTATTACAGCAGAACCTAAAATCACAACAGATGAAAGCGGGTGAGATCAGTTTGGTGCTTTTTCTGCCCTAAGTACCCACACTACACATGCACATCATTTATGAATGATTAGTTCCACAGTTTCTTGCAGAATCTCATATCAATTTATATGTTCCAGGCACTTCAAGTTCATCAGCTCATTTTTCTTTCAAGGTACTAGGTAAGAGACTTCAGTGTCCCTTTGGGTACATTTAAATAGGTACCTCCCAGCATAAGTTTTTCTCCTCAGACAACAGCATGTTAGAAGTGTATTAATTGCTCAGGCACAAAATTGGGTTAAATAAAATGGAAAACCCTAAAACCTACATCAAGATATCTTGCACAATACAGCACACTCCTTGCAATTTATACTCTACAACAAATGACTTCTGCATTAAGGAGAGGATAAAGATGTGGAATAATCAGAAGTTACAGCAAATCTGTCCATCTTCCTAGTGCACTCCATACACATACAGATGGTTTTGTATAATCTATTATACACAGACTGGCCGAAAGGAATCACACTGGAGGGGGCCTCCACAGGTTGAGTGGCCCAAGCTCAGCTAAGGTCACGGACAGATTCTCATCTAAACACAGGAAAATTCCAGCACTGTATTCCTGTTGCGCAAGACTTCTCCAGAAGTAGTTTACCTGGATACATAGTCCAGGAAAATCTCCACTAAACACCTCTTTCAAGCTATCTCCCTCTCCATAGCATCACTTTTGACAGGATTGTTAAGCTTCTAGAATACCACTAAAGCTCCAGACAGACATTTCTCTAGCATAAACCTGTTGCAAGTGTAAGTAGGTGTCAAAATTTCTCAAGAGATGTAATATAATGGAAGAGCATGTCTCTGTGGTTTGATTACTTACCTTTAAGTTCAGTGCTACAAAAACAACCCTTGAGACTAATCAATACCTTAGCCAGAAATGTTTCACTCAAAACTTTAAATCAGCTTACCCTGGCAATGTTCAGAACACAGCGCTATGGTTCCAATTACGTTTCAATAGTATCAATGTCCCAAATACCTGGAAGCATAATTTTTATGACTACAGCATTTATTACAGCTGCAATCAATCAACATACTTTAAATATCATAGCAATTATGTCACACAACTTATCAGTTGTGTGACTTCTCAGTTGAAAGAGGCATAAGTTTTATCCAGTTCTACTCCTAGCTGTATTTGATGGATGTAAAAATGTGAAAGTATCTTGGAATCTTAAAAAGCCTCTCAGTATTTCATCTGAAAGGTGTATTCCACAGAAGTAAATCCAGGTAAAAATGGTAGAGGACATAAGACACATTTCCTTATCATAATGAAAAGTAAATTACTACTGGGGAAAAAAACAACAGTATTTACACCCAAGTTCACAGCAGCAGTCCTGGAGGGCTGACAGGCATAAGAAAGTAGCAACAGTCAGGCAAATATTATTCCCCCCGTCTCCCTTCTAATGAAAAATGGGGAACTACAAATTTGAACACAGATTTACTTTGCCAAATTCTACTTAAAAAAATGGAGTTTCAATTTTTGACTGCAGTAGTACTTTTAAACTGCTTTCTCATGCAACCCATTTATACTGGGATGTGGTCAACAACACTAAAAATGAACTTTAACTCAGTAAGTGGCTTTACTAGACACCTCTTTCCATGGTCGGGGTTAACAGGAACAAACTTGTGTGGGTGCTACTGAGAGGGTTTTGGAGATTTGTCGCAAGAGTGTACTCAGGTCCACAATGCCAGCTTAATTCATGCTCCAGGATTTAAGAACATGTTCTATGGGCTTTTCAAAAGCAGGACTTACTTTTGGTGCACGTTTTCTTTGTGATAAAGAAAACAACCAACAAACTGGTTTTTTACCTCTCAAATATCTCAAGACAGGCACCCACAGGAAAAAAATGTGCCTGCTATTGCTTCTGTTTGGGTTTAAACAAAACACTGATTGTGGACTCTCTTCTTTGCATCATCCTGCTGGCACATCAGCAGCAAGACACTACATCATGAACACACAATATTTTAGGCATCTCATAACAAAGCAGGAAGCATCACTGTCTCACAGAATACTGTATTGGTGTACAATACCAGTCAAACCTCACAGGAAACCTTGCTGATCTTTATAACATTATGCCCCAAAGGTGATGTTTCTGTGAATGCAGAGGTGGACTCCAGTGCCTCTTCAGAAATTCCAGCCACTCAGAATAGAATACAACTATAGTTTCCCTAACTGAACCCGTTTCTGCTGCAGTCAGGAACCTTTCTCTCATGTGAAAATAGTCACTTCATTGCTAATAACGGCTCTCAAAGAAATGGAATTTATCAATTCCAAAAGCAAAACACAGATAAGAGTACAGAACTTGTTTCTCTCAAATGTCTTCTGATAATTAACAAAAGTATTCAAACACTTGATGTTAGAAAAGATATGAAATACAAAGCTTGCCATGAAGAACTTGTGTATTATGCTCTGTGTTAACCATTAACTTACTTTAACTTTGCGTAAGAGATTGGATAAAATAGACCCCACATAGGGTACACAAAGCAGCTGAACACCAAGTATGACACAGCTCGTAATTACTATTTTTGTTTGCAAGATGTGAATAAATGCCAGCATACCACCAAAAGTATTACCTTGCGGTTAATGTTTGAAAGATCTTGCCTTACTAATGATAAATTACGCTGGCTGACTTTATGATACCTTTTGTTACCACTTCTCCATAGGGAAACTTCTCCAGTTTGCAGTTATTAGCTAATCTCACTAGTGATCTTAGATCATTTTGCAAAGAAGTTCACAAGTCTGAAATAAAAGGAATGGAGACACTTTTGTGTCATTAGCTGAATAAAATCACAATGCACTATGAAAACATTGATCTTTTTAGAGTTACAGTTTTGTTCCAGGGTAGTTTGCCTGCCTTTTAAAAATAAATAAATAAATAAAGCCAAATTCACTTTGCCTGATCCAACTTCACAAATATATGGAGTACTTCAGTGAAAAGGACTTTTTGGTGCCAGGGAAAGTGGATAATCGTGTATTCTTCCAGAGCAGCTGGTGGCTAAGCAGGCATGGCTGTCCCCAAGAGCTGCAAAATGGGGAACTCCTTTTCCTTTCATAGAAATTCTTTTTTTCAAGAGAATGCATTTTTTTCTATTATCTTGACATAGCCAGGAAACCTTATCATGTAATCTACTCCAGACCAGTAATTAGAAGTGATGTCATTGATGTCATTGGAAGAAGTTACTTGATGAAGTTATGACAGTGCAATCCTTTCTGAAGTTCATCTAATCTACAATCTAAGAAGTCTTCTTCATCCACTGCAAATAGCTTTGTGTCATCCATAGACAACCATGTTCCTTTTATAAGAGAATCTTCCTTCCATAGCAAGATGCAGAGAAAGGGGAAAAAATTAAAGATTAATTTAGCTAATGCTATGAAGCTATCCATCAGTTTTGTATTCCAGTGTGCCATATCACCAAGTACCCTGTCTATATACCCTTAGCAGCCAGTGCCAGGTATTTTTGGTAGGTGGTCTAACAACCCACATACAAAACTTACCTTTTAAAGGAAGTTCCCTTCTCATTCAGGAAAATAAACTCTGAAAAGCACAGGAATATGTCTCATTCCCAAATTCTACTTATTTTCTTCAAGATTAACAGTACTTTCACCAAAGATGCAACTCCCCCCCGCCAAACTTTGCCTCCTTCTGAAGCACAGCTAGATACAATGTCATGAAGATGCTGCATCCTTAACATCTGTAAGGAACTGCCAAAGCAGATAGTACTTGATGTGAGGAAAATTATTTTATTGCCAATTAAAATAGATAAAATTAGTGAGAAACAAATACAAATTAAACCAGCACATTCCCCTCATGTTCCTCTCTTTCCCCTGACTCAACTTCACACCTTCAATGCCCAACTGCTCTACTTCCCCCAACCTGAAGCAGCACAGGCAAGAGGGGGTTGCAATCAGTCTGTAACAGCTCCTTTGTATCGTTCCATCCTCCTCCTCACACTTTTCCTGTTTCCCACAGGTCTGCTCCACAGGCTGCAGTCCTTCAGCATGAAGCTGCTCCTTCATGCCTCCTCTCCATGAACTGCAGTTTCTTCAGGAAATCTCCATCTGCACCAGCATGGGGTCCTCTGTGCGCTGCAGGGAAATACCTGCTCCAGCACCGGAAGCAATTCCTCCCTCTCCTTCTTCTCGGACCTTGGTGTTCAGAGGATTGTTTCTCTCACTTTCTTCCTCACTCCTCTCTACCACGCAGCATTTTGTCCTTTCTTTAACATGCTTTCACAGAGATGCCATCAGATTAATGGATGAGCTCAGATGTGTCTGGCAGTGCGACCATTGCAGAGCTGACTGGAACCCAGCTGTGTCCTGCACAGGGCCACCCACAACCAAAACAGAAGCATTACACAAAAGCTGGAGATGAAGAACTTCCTGACCCTCTCCTGTGCTTCCCTTCAAGTTGTACCCAAGCAGTCGTTTGTGGGGTGCACAATGGGCCAGACCCACACACCAATATAGATTCAAAACAATATGAGGGGGTGAAGGGCAGTTGCTTGTACTGGTGATCTGATGGTACACACAGTGCAAGACACTGCTACCATCACCACAGCTCTGTAGTTGTGCTGGCCTGTGTTGGGACACAGATACAGGAGCAGAATGTGTGGCAGGTGCTTTCTGCAAGAACATCTGGAGCAAAGTGGGCAGGGGAGCTCACCCCAGTATGTCCCTCCCCAAGAAAACATAACAGCATCTTATATTTCAGTCATGCAAGGAACCAACCTCCAGTACAATAAAGCCGAGAGGAAATTTATCTCCAAACATGGGAAACAGGATGACAGAACAGTGTTTTAAGGAGAAATTTTTGTTTCTGTGCCACTCTGCATGGAAAAGACAATGGGAGAAAGGCAGAAAAGTGGTAGATGAGAACATGTTCAAACAATTCCCCCACTCCAAAATTAAAAAGAACAAATGGGGAGGCCAGGGAGAGGTAACTTTATAGCTTGTATTATGTTGAAAGTTAGACATGCACTAGAACCCGACATGAAAAACCTATGGACCCACTGAATTACTGTGAAAACATTGATTTAAAACCAGCAAAGCCCTCTTTCCACAGATCATCTGTTCTCAACAGAAGCAAGAAGGTCACAAAGGTTCCCACTTTCTCCATATCCTTCCATGTACAAAACGCCTCAGATGTGATAACGGGTTTAACAACAGCCAAGAACATGGAGATATTACACCAGTTTGCATTCAGAAGATAACTAGTGCACTGAAGATAGAAGCAAATACATGCAATCAGCATTCTAGCTTTTATTAGAATTGAGCTCAGAGCACAAATAGCATCAAAATCAACAATAAAAAGTTTTATATTAAAAAAATGTTTACCATTTAAAGTGAACCACTTCAGCCAGAAACAAACTCTGCAATCTTGAGCTGTAAACTCTGAGAGCTTTCTATCTCCTGCAAACAGCTTTTCACAACGTCACTTCCTCTTCTGTTCTTGGCTCTGGTTTCTTGCCAGTTACCTGGAGTACCCTCAGAGGTAAGGGATCCTAAGAAAACATCCAACACAGAGTGAACTAAGAGCTAAAAGTAGAAGCCAAGGAGGAAGCACCTGCACACTTCAGAAAACTCGAGTGTCATCTGTAAGAAACATAAATAATTCATTTCCAATTCTGTGCTATTTAATTTTAGCTTCAAGAGAAATATCTGTGAGAAAAAGTTACATTTATGTCTAACAGAACAGTGACCTGACAAAGCACAACTGAACTTTCGGCATGGTCCTTTAGGAATTATACACTGCACACTTAGATCTAGGACAGAAGATAAACCTTAGGCCAAACTTGTAGCTAATTTGCACGAACAGTTTAACAGCAGAAGTTGGGGGGGGGGGTAGGGAGAAGCTGAGATTTGTTTTTCTCCCATTGCTGACCACCTAGCCTTGATGCAACACATTCAGAAACAAACTATGGTTTGCAGATATTGTTACTGACACCCTGCCAAGTAACCAGGTCAGATCATGCAAATGAAAAGGAAGTGCCCTCATGTAATGGGAAAGGTGGTAAGGATTCTGGTATCATCCCTGTTCCTACCCCCACCCCTTCCCTTGCTATAATTATGGTTCTATAATTGCTTTGCTTTTTTTTTTTTTTTGTGGAAGACCCTCATCACAGTGATTTGCAGTATGGATGGAATCACCTATAAAGGAAGAAAAGGGCCAAACCTTTCAGACTCTGAACATGGTGGTTTCGGAAGACAGTTTGGAATGATTCCTGTTCTGGATAAAAAGAAAAAAAAATTGGAAAAGGCTTTGGTTGATTTAGGCTATTAGTACATACTTCTATCCTTGTATATTGTGGTATTTCCTCATGAGGAATTACTGCAGAAATACTTCATCATCCACTGTAAGTTAAAGCTTACTCTGCAGTAAGAATACCTGAAAGGACTTCAGACAAAAACTCTCCACTATTGGCTTTTTTTCCTTAATAAAACAAGCTTTCATTTACTTTAAGAAAACACACACAGACAACACAAAGATCAGGAGGCAGCACTGGCCTACAATTTCAGTATAACATGCAAAGATGGTAATGCACGGATAAGCATTCATTAATATTTTGGTACACACTCACTGAGATCTGTCTAAACACCAGGCATCTTGTCAGGTAGATCAATAAGCCTAATACTTCTGAAAAGATTTACTTTTATTCATTATTGAAAAATCCTTTTCCTCCCACCAAAGAATGTGGGCTCTATCGAAGTCATGTCATCAACCTTTAATCTCCTCCATTCTGTTCCTGCAGGTCCTCCCATAAGATCTTACATACCTTGTTCATGATCTCCATGTCCCTTGAAGGCTTGTACAACTTCTTGAGGGGGCAAGCAGAGAGAACAGCTATGTCAGAACACAAAGACAAATCATCACTGTTTCTCAAAGGGTGCATTCAGAACAAGCACAGAGAAAGTTAGTCTGGAATGAGGACACCAGGACTGAACTCCCTCTCTCCCACTGATCTGCCAACACACACATCTATGTTTCTGGCTCTCCTACTGCCATTTGACTGCCACGCCTAATTACATTTTAAATAGTGTCTAGAGAGAAAGACTATTCTACAAAGAGCAGGAGCAAGGCTCTGCTCTTCCTGGGAGCCACTGAACTATCATATTTAACCAAATGACAAAGCTGAAGTTTTAACAGTATTTTAGTGGTAGTTGATGCTGTTTTGACACTGCCCTGCTGTAGAAGTCCAAGTACATTAGACAAATGACCAAATGGCACATCCAATAGCATGTATGTTTTTGCTCCCTCATAGGGCCCAGAAATAAATTCTTATGAAATCAGTACACTATGGACAGATTTCCATTTCCTATAAGCCTTATCAATCTCTATTAGAAAAAAAGATCAGGAGGAGAGAGAAATTTAATTTGCTTAGAACAGCACGCTCTTGTTTAAGCAGGCAGATGCATTTACAGAAGCCAAATAACCAACTGAGCTGCACTGCAGAGAGCTAAGGATGGTTGTAGTAAAAAACATGAATTCCAGGTATCCATATTAAAAGATCTGATTACATGTGCCCTAAAATATCTGCCCCATTTAACCACAGTTAAGTGTAATTAAAACTAAAGAACTACACATAAACAACTATATTCATATCTACAGTTTCTCTTCCTTTTTTTTTTTCTTCAGATACATACAATCTCATATGCATACGTAACTTAAAACTATTAAGCAACCAAAGGTAATTTTTTCAATAAAGAGATTATCCTACATGTGCCTTATTGCAATGTTTCTTCTATCTAGCAGAGGCTATTAGACCGCTGATGAGAATTACTCCCACAGCATCCATGCTCCTACTCTTCCATGCAGGAAAGACTCCTCAGGACAAGAACATTCAGTGTTTGCCCTCAGAAAGCTTTCCATGCTTTTAAAATACCTTCTGTACTAGAACAGTGTGGGGTCCTACACCCACTAATACTTTCTATGATACAGCAAGTACTGTTTATGATCACTCCTTTGAAGACTCTCTAGAAAACACATCCAATCCCTTCAGAAAATAAACATGTAATTTGTCACGTGCATTAGAAACGCACTGAGATACTAAGGTGAAACAGCTTACATTGCAAAAGAAACCCCAAATACACATGCGCTCCCGTCACGTGATGAGATTTTTGCCTTCCCCTGTTTCTCCCCCCAGATCATACCTTAGGTGTTGCTTGTTGGAGAGACTTGCTGGGTAGCTTCTGACCTAAAAAAAAAATATCAACACAGCCTGTTTTACACAATGCTTGTTTCATCATTAATGAAGTGCACTGTTGCTAGGAGAAGATGATCATTACTGATGGGATAGGCTCTGAAGCTGATGCCTGTGAAAGCTTTTTTCAGAAAGGAAGGGCAGTTCAAGGAGAATTTTCTCACCACAGATCCACAAAGAGCAGTAACTTTTCACAGCACCATCCTCAGCTGCATCACACTTTCTATCCCTAATAGAACAGATTATTCCTGCCTAATCTTCTGAGAACATACCTGTTCGAACAGGATTAAGACAGCAAATTGTGAGTTTGCCAACAGACAAGTCAACAGCCAGCTACAATCCACAGCCAGAATCAGACGCTCAAATGTGAAAGGCAAGAGGCCAGTTTCTCAAGACAAAGTCTTAAGACCTGTCAGCAACTGCAATTTTCTCATTGTTTTCTCATTTTTTTTTCAGTTACTGTGAATGCGAAGAGTGTCCTGTGAAATGTGGCTGCCTGATATTCATCCAGGTAAAGAAGATAAGCCCAAAAGCAAGGAAAATACTTAATCCAATTAAAAGGAACATATGCACTTAGGATCCTGGGGAGACAGGAAGAAAAACTGAGCAAATGTCACTACTATTTACTTGTGAACTCACCAGCAGCTCCAACAGTGCAACAGTGAAACACGGAGAACCAGAGGGCCTGAGGACATAGGGCTTGGGTGGAAGTGTGAAGGAAAAGAGACCTGGGTGGTCCATGCTTGAGGTAGGTAGAGCTGCAGCCAGAGGGATGACAGCAGCAAGCTAATTCAGTTGGGAAGAAAAGGTGTATTTTCTGTACTAATGTGTAAAGGAAAAGAATCTATGCTGCGGGGTTGAAGCTCCAAGAGGTATTTTTTTCTTCATATTACAAGATAAGAATGGGCATCTCAGACTATGGGAAATCATTTACCTGCCTCTGGCACTCACCAAAACTCAAGCTGCTTTGTGGGTTTTTGGGCAGGACTCTTCCATTCCTTTACATTCCTACCACAAACTCACCCTATGCACCACTGGCATAGCCTGAGGAGCTAGCTGCACTGAGCCTTTGCGATGTGCTCACAACCGCCCTCCAGGGCCCCAGAACCCCCAGAGCACAGCCCACTCCAGCCCTTCCCCACAGAACCCTTGCTTTTCACACACCTTCAGGAACTTCTTCTGCCTGGTCTCCCTGGTGTTGTTCTATTTGTTCTCCTTCATTCCCAGAAACCACTGCCCTGACGTAGCTCTTGCATTTCTCCCCATGGGCCCCCATAACCACAACACAGACCATTACTTTAAAAGAAAAAGTAGTTTACATTTGAACAGAAATATTATACATTAGGTTACTATATAAATATAGATATACACATACATATACAGATATATTCCTCTCTAAATTTTGTACAAATTGCAACAACCTTTATACCACAGAAAGGACTCATTAACACTACTGGTTTCCATCCAAGAGGCCACCAGCCTTGAACAAGAGCTATGGACGTGTGCCTTTTTATGCATTCTGTACATTTTAGCAAAAAATTATCATTGTATGCACATACATAAGCACAGCCCTTCTTGTAAAGCCAGCTGAGCACTGTTATGGGTAACCAACAGTGCGGATAAATTGGAGAAGAATTTGTTCATTTACAGTACTCAGGAGCTCACGATTTCTAGGTTTGCAAAATAAACATTTGAACACAACCACAAGAAAACAAAGTAAACATCAGAAAAACATCTACAATTCCAACACAGTAACAATCAACTACTTTGTACTAAGCTACACAGCTTTCTCTGAAAAATCAACCTCACGCATTTGATTCAAACAAATTTAGTTGATCCGAAAGCATTATTGCTTACTTGTGGTTTTTTAATACACATAAGATTCTTTTATGTAAAATTTAGGTGGACTTTAGTGAACACAGGTGTTAAGCTTAATTAGAGACTGGATATGGAAGATGAGCTCGTATTCCTTCATTAGCAACATGCACAAAGCAAATGCAAACATATTTAAAGAGAAAAGATGACACCAAATTAAACACCAACACAATAATAAACTGGAATATGTATTTGGAAGACAAAGAACTGAAATGCTGTGAAAATGAAAAAAATGAAACAAAAAATCCGAGTATTGCCTGAAGAAGCATTTCAACTTTGCTCAATGACTAGAATAGCAACTCTCATGCCCAGCTTTTAAAAACAACTAATTCTGTACTGCTTCTTTAAATTTCTCCCAACTTTTTGTTCTATTGTTTTCAGGGTACTGCGCAAATCAGGGTAGATTATAAAATTAATTTCACAGCCTGCAATTCAAAATGTTCTAAAAGAGTATTTCCTCCAGCTGTGAGCATTAAACCAAAACCAAAAGTACCATCAGGAATATTGCTCAGCACAGGATGAGACTGCAGCTCATCCTGTGCTGGAATGAACAGTGACTGCTAAAGAACAGATGTGTTAATGAGGGAACTAAGAACTGATGAAAATGAAACTTCTCTTTCATTAAACTTCTAGTCCAAACACAAATCTATTGTCTGCTTTGAAGAGAACCAAAACTGAAATAACCTCTTGCTGATAATCTTTAGCTGTAACTCATTATTTTGGGAGTAAGCATTCACAAAAATGAAGAATGATTATTAAAAAAAACCACAACAGTATTATTAAGAAAGAAGAATATACTTTGGAATGCATTAGTTTAAACTCTAAGAAAATAACAAAGGTGATGGAGTCACTGAACACAGCAGCACAGAAGCAGGTACCCGTTCTGGTACATAGTTACCAAGTTGGGAAAGAAAAGGTGACTGCTGACTGCGTGCTCCAGAACTACGACTGCAGCAGAGAACATCCATTTTGGACATATTTTCACAATTAACAACAACTATAAAATTAACAGAAGTGTGAACCTTGTGGGATTTTACCTACTCAGAAATACCACAAAGCAAGTCAGTGCAGAAACAAAATATGAAAGACTCCAAAGAACTGGAGATTCTCTATGCACTTGCAACATAAAATACTGACTCTTATTTAATAAGAGCATGACCCTGTGGGAAAATTCTTATTTAAGCTAACCGATATATATTAGCTTTAAATGTACGCTTTAACAGTGTTAGTTAACCTCACAGAAGTTAATATATGTTAAGATATAGCACTCACCTAACAGATGCTGCACTGGGAACCCAGTTCAATGGGAAACTTTTGAAAGGCTTAGCTTTCAATACTCAAAAGAAAATTGCCACTATTTAAATGATGCTTGACGTATGTTAACAAACTTAACAATTTAATCTTTATGTCACATAATACTTCTAATATTTTATCTCTACATAAATGGATCAATCTTGTTCAGATTTTTCTTCTTTTTCAGATTTTTTTTGTGTGTTTTGGTTTATTTTTATTCCTAAGTCCTCAGGCTGCATTATTCTGCAGCATGCAAAGGAAAAAAAAAAAAAAACAAAAAACTTTTTCAGCAAAATCTCAACCACTTAGTAGGAAGCAGTAACAGAACTGCTGATATTGCTGTATACAAACCACTCTGAATATTGCTCTAAGAATTCAACATTTGAAGTAAACAATGCCATTGTTTAATTTGATACCTATGTTGGCATCAGTTTCATTTAATTCTTTAAATGGATTCCAAGTTATGTGTAAATTTTTTTCTTAGAGAAACATGTCTCACACATTACACAGCTCAATGCTTGTCACTTATTATGGCTTTGGCTTAAGTATTGCTAAAAGAGATTTCCTTATCATATTCATTTTTATAAAGATCCCTGGTAATATTGAAAGTATTACGGACCACTCCAGTCTTAGGACCTGCTACAGTTGAAAAAGATGAGTTTGTTTTCTGAACACTACAGTGACAACACACTTGCACATATTGTTTGAATTTATAGCACTTTGCGTTGTTTTCTTGGGCCTTTCTTTGTTAGAAACGTATCCATAAACCCTACATCATGAGTGCCAGCAGGTTAAATCATATTTATCTGAACTAACAGCATTAAGTGCATAAAGCAAAAGGTAGATAAGCATCATTTTCCATGAGACAAGATTCCTGCATTTAGTTATGACCAACTGCTAATACTGTACCACTGCAAATGCTGCATGCAGCAATGAAACTGATTATAAAGCCAGAACATAAGTGCAAAGATGTCAAAGTTGACAACATTCACTATTACAATTCACACACTTTTCTTCATCATACCGCTTTACATTCACCTGGGAATCTCACCTTTCTCCTCTCCTTGATCTTCACACCATTAACATTATGATCAGGTCAAAGTTGCATTTGCTTAAGCATCTATGTCCTTCATCAGTTTGAAATTTAGCATCTTGGACCTTCATTTTGTCACAAAACCACTGCTGTATAGATGCACCGTGCTGTTGGATTCTGTGGTCTTGGAGCTGGCAGAATTGATGGTCTCTGTAGAGCCGTAAGAGTCGAAAGTCTCAAGGAGAAAAGTAAACCCAGTACTGTGATCCATATTCTAAAACTAAGGAATTAAACTGTGGAAGACCTTCAGAAATGTTGACCAAAATGGGCCATTTGGATAACATCCAATTACTCAAAAGCTTGAAACAGAAGTGAGAGGTGCTGTTCCACAGGGCAACTGAATGACCTGGCATTGGCAGTGAGCCACATCAGTCATAAATCAAAAGAGCTGTCAGAACTACTGTAAAAATATGCCTAGTCTGAATGTCCCAGTACAATTTAAAAAGAATGGCATTACTTTGAGAGCACCTTCCATGTGGAGTTCTCCGATTTGAAAAATCCTTCCAGCCTTCACAGATTTAAACAGGTGAGGAACTACGGCAGCCTCTGATTTTATCTGGCTCCACAGACAATACTTTTTCTCTTGGCTCTTGTTTAACTTGGCTCACACAGATAACTCCCTCTGCATTTTCTTCAGCTTAAAAACAAAACAAAACAAAAAATAATCAAACATTGAAGTTCAAACTCCACTGATAAGCTTCAGCTACTTTTAAATTAAAAGTATTTCAGGAACTCAAGCTAATAGGTAAGGCATCTGTGAAGTTAACTGCTTCATGGTCAAACAGTAGGTCAAACTAAATTTAATGGCTGTTTAATGTGACCTACTGTGCTACAAGACATGGCAAGTTGATATGAATTTACTGCAGTAACAGCTCCCTTGAGTTAGAATATTTAGAACATTTTATAAAAAGCCATAAAAAATAGTATGTTTGGAGATAGAAAATTATGCTCATGCAACATGTCTTTCCTCTTTCCCATGGAAAGATAAAGCAACCCGCTTACTTGGTTCTATTTGGTTGTTTTTTTCATTTCCAGGGGAAAGGAGGAATGGAAAACTAACTCAATGACTTATAATTCAGGCATGACTGGCCACTACAGTGACTGCATGTAAATTTCCAGCAGCAAATAGCTTATTCTTAAGTTAGCACCTAGACAAGAGAAAGTCTACAACATACAGGATAATTTTAACCAAGCCCACGTGGGTGTTAAATGTAATGCATACACACAGGAGAAAAAAAAACCTTGAAATGCACTGTGACTGAACTGCTAGATTCAAGTGTACAGGGTATGTGTTCATTTTATAGGCAACTCCTCTACAACATAACTTAGGAATGGCACCAATATTCTCAAAATTTCCAAATCTAGGCTGGTGACGACTGAAACCTTGAGCAGAAAAAGAAAATCCCAAAGGAACAGTCAGTTTAGTCCTTGCAGTTATATATAATCTTATATTTGACTACATTTCTCTTTATGTAAACCAATGTTACTTAAAATGCACTTACTACACTTATCACAAAAAATTTTTGAGAGGCATCAACATCCAGATTAAACAAAAGAGTTAAACAACTTAATGGAGAAGGTGCATTTGATAACCTCTCTTGAGCTTGTTTTACCCTGAATAAAACCAGATTTTTTCAGGAGAGCAGTCAAATTCAATTATAAAAGGGGAATAAAAAAACCAGTTACACATTTGAGTACACAGCAGGCAGGAAATCCCTTATATTTAACTTTGACAATACTACCACAATAAAATACCCAAACATTACTTTAACATGTATGAATTTCAGTATATTCCCTCATATACCCTTTATCTCTTTTTCATTTCTTCATGTAGTCTTATATTTCCATTAGAGAATTTAGAACAAATTCAGTTTTGCAGACCTGCAAAAGTCACCAGGGCACATGGAAATAGTTACCCCTATGGCATTAGAAAGGTGCAGGCTATGATCTGGCACATCTTTACCGGGATGTTCCTGCAAAACTACTCAAGAGTCATCTTTTTAGAACTCACAGATGACAAGAAAAGATAAAAAGAAATAACAAAGCTAGCATTTAGACTCTCTGGATAGTCAAAAGGACATGTTGCAATGACCTATGTATGCTCCATATCTAATAGGTTTTCTTCACCAAGAATCAAAAATCCTTCTTTGAGAATGCAAGCTTCCATTCTCCATCAGGTTCCATGGCTGAGAATCTAAAGACTGTATATTTAACAAAAATTTTAAGGAGCCTTCTATTTTGATAAAAAGTTATTTATAATATTTATTGTGTTATTTTTTTAAAGAGTATTTTCAAACAGAAGCCTGAAATTCTAATTAATTACAACTCCAACTGATCACTTCTAAAGCACATTGATGACTTCAGGGTCCTAGCAAAAGTTTAGTAAAAAAAGTAATTCAGAAATCTGCTGAGATGGTGCAAAGAAAGAAGTAATCAAAACCCTCACATTCCCTTCCAAAAAGTTCTAACTAGATTCAATATTGGTTATTTTCTATTCTTATTTTTCCTTTTAAAAATATTTTGAAGATAATTTTAACTAAATGGATATCATTTGGCAAAAAAAAAAGTGTTCATTGAATAAGTGGTTATTTGGTCAAAGTAAGTAATGCATAGTTTAACTAAAGCCATCTTTTTATAGAAAAACCTGGGTTTTGGTTTGGTTTTGTTCCTTCCCTTACCCTCCCCCACTCCTGTTTTCACAGTAGAAATTAATTCAAATCAGCTGAAAGAAGTCTATACAGGAGTTCCCCAGTATCAACACATTTCTTTCTTCAAGACACACAGAAGAAAATCTATTTTATTTTCTATATTTACATATTATTGGCAAGACTGCAACTTACCAAGTGCTGGATGGCTGTCCACAATCCGTACTGGAATAGTCTGTACATCTCCCAAGAGAATCTGATGGACTCCTCCTCCTAGGCTTCTGGAGTCATCCACCCCTCCAACTGCTACCAACTGGCTCATGGTGACCAGATTCTGATCGGGGCCAGGTGGAGTCCCAAAAGCAGAGGTAGTAGTGCTATGCTGTGTTAGGCCAGCACCTGCTTGCAGACTGTGTCCCTGACTAAGTAATAGAGGATGGTTGGTTACTGCACTCCCTGTGGAATCTAGGAGACTTGCAGGGCTGGGAGAGGAATGGTTATTTACAGCTATCAGGGCTGTTGATCCATTTGTGGAGGTAAAAGTTGACTGCAGCTGTAATCCCTGTGAAAGAGAAGGCAGAAGAACTAACATACCAGTATTTACAGCAGAAGTTTGCATTTAATGACATTTATTTTGCAATGCTGCTACTGCATAATACATAACCTCTTTTCAACAGTCAATCCCAGCAACCCTAGGCTAAAGTTGTATTAGAAAATAATTAGAACAATGTATCCAGAAGCCTCTTAGAAGACTATTTACAGCCATAAAGTTCTAATTTCAGATTGATTTTGTTTCAAATCATTTCCCAGTACTGCCCATTCACACAAGAGGTAGATACTAAAAGCATACTGATAAAAACCCCAGCAACTTGCTGCAGACTGTATACCTAGGGAAGAGAACACACATTTCACTGTGGTCCAAGAAGCATAAAGGTAACTTTTCAAAAAGAAGAGTCACCTTTAAAGGGAGATGAGCTTTAGAAGCAGCTCTTTTAAGCACAACATTCTTATCCCCAGTCTTCAGCCTTTCAAACTGGAAGTTTACAGATCTGAGCTGGGGGCAGTTTTAAGATTTTAACGTATTTTAAGAGGCTGGAGAAGGATTTTAAAGGAATAAGACTGACTTATCTCCCCTCGGTTTTGCAGCATTTTTGTTATTAAATGGCTGGACCATGTAGAAAACAAATAGGTGCTTGGCTAGAGCAGAAGCCCACTACTTTCATCATCTTTGATTTGCCTTCAAATTTGCCTTCAAGAGACCCCAACTAATTTCAAAGTGTCAAAAGATGATAATGGGGTCCCCTGCACCACAACTATATGCCAAATATGACATGCAAGAGGAAAAAAAAAAAAACAAAAACAAGAGTTGACAGCTATTTCAAAATGTGCGTTACCCAGCCAGTGTTTGGGTTCATTAGCTGAGACGGAACTTGCTGTTCTCAGCTTGCCTTCCCAGTGAAGAAGGTTTGATGTTCTGTAAACAACTTGACTGTACCTGAAGTTGTGCAAATATCTTGGGCTGAAGTGAAGAGAGGGAAGATAATAGCTGAGCTGTTCCTGGTAGCAAGGACTCCCCACTCTGGCTGGCTTCTGCTTTGGTGACAAGTGACTCCCCTTCTGAGCTCCCTACAGTGCAACAGAGAGGAGGCAGACAGTTATGACAGATTTCTTCCCATTTAAAAGTCTCCTCTGCAAACTGAACAAACCCCTTCAATCTCAATATAGACATATAAAAGAAACATATACATAAATGCTGTTTTCTTTGCATAAGAGCTTAGATGCTAAATTAAAAAAGCTGTGTATGAGAAAAAGACAATACTGTAGGAAGATTGTATGTGCCTGGTGACAGCAAAACAGAAGCACTGACAGATCCATTTTGAAGAGCAAAGTAACTGCACCCTACACTGTGCTTTGAATTTCTAGTTATAACATAAAAGCTGACAGTTGACTATCAAAGCAACGATCAAACAATTTGACAATACACACACCTCAGTAAGGGCTCTAATAAACAGGCATAAAAAAAAAGAAAGGGTTGTCTCTGAAAATAAAAATCTACACTGGAAATCCTGTAAGTCTCACCACTCCCTTCCAAACATCTTTGTGGAATTAAGGCAATTTCTATGCAGCATCACACCAAAAGTCCATTTATCTGGAAGTCTTTCAGCCTACAGATTAAACTATATCCTCAAAATTCTTTAATGCAAGAAGGACAGACTTCATTTCCTGATGACTTGTAAAAATTGAGATTCGCTTGCAGCAATTTCTGCAAGAAAACTTCCAATGGAACTGCAAAAAGCTTTGTAACACAAACTCATACAGAAGTTTCCAGCAATCTAAGTGAATGGAGATACATTTTTCAACATATATACTGATTTGCAAACTCTAACTCCTTATCATAACTGACTATAAGACATACTCTACTAATATCCTTCAATACAACTACTTCCAATATTTGGGCTCTTTTTAATACTACACAGAAGCCCCATATGCATATGTGAATATTCAAGACTCCATAAACATTTGTGAACATTCACATGTAGGAAGAGATGGCAGTTCTCTTCTTAGGTTGTATTCTACACCAACATGCCTAGGAATAAAGATAATAGTTCAACTCCTAACCTACCCACTCCTTACACTGCTTGGGCTTTCAGTATGAATGCCAGAATTGAACAAACAAACAGAATAGGTACTTTAGCTCACTTGTCATTATACTTCATAAAAGATGTAAAAGGGAGCACACAAATTTGACAATTACAGTGGATCTTAGACCTAGAATAGAGAAAGCTGTATCTCATGGAGATAGGGAGTTCTGCTCAACAAGACAACAAACAGCTAGGTTTAGTTCTGTTACCATTTGATTTCATAAACAATAAATTTGTCTCCAGTCAGCACAAGTTGAAATGAAAAAAAACAAACCAAACCAAACCACAAAACCCACAAAAAAAACCCACAATCAAAACCCCAACATAAACAAGCAGTAGTTTGAAAAGCTAGTGTTGTTTTCCTTTGTTACCACTTCATAATACGTTAACAAGAGTTCAATTTTTCAGTCAGGCTTATTTTTTTGCTGAGACTTGTAATACAATTATAAACATGTGTTTGCAATGTGTACAAACACATACCCACATATATAAGGGGAGACAAGATATGCTGGAATTAGATTAGCTGCTTGCATTTACTGACTTGGTGCACATGTGCAGAAAGGGAAACAAATCCGATTCTCTAGCTTCCTCTAAAATTCACTAGATGGACGCTTACATATTTGATAGGCTGTGAAAGACAAAGAAAGCAAGAATTGATCTTCCTGAATCTTCTCCAGTATTCAAACATACTAAAAAGCATCCCTGCTGAGCTCTATCACAGCTGTTGAAAGCACGACTATTCTGTGTCTTTCCATAAAAGTGCAGTAATGCAAAGACTCACAGACATGCAAGCTTAAGCACAGTAGGCCTGCTCATATTGCAGATTCCTTTTTTCCTAAAGCAGGCTTCCTTAAGAAAGAGGAACACTATTTAAACTGAGCTTCAAAACTTTTGCCCTCTGACAGTTGTCAATAACAAAATTCTTACCCTAAGAGCACCAAGCATGCATGATGCCTTTCAGTTCAAATTGATCCACTGCAGCAACAGCTAAAACAAGAGTTAGAAAAAAAACCAAGACAAAGCCCAAACACTGGCACATAAATCAGGTAAATCAGGTTCACCAAGTCATCTGTTAGGGTGGTGAGGCACCGGAATGGGTTGCCCAGGGAGGTTGTGAATGCTCCATCCCTGGCAGCGGTCAAGGCCAGGTTGGACGAAGCCTTGGGTGAGATTGCTTAGTGTGAGGTGTCCCTGCCCATGGTGGGGGGGTTGGAACTAGATGATCTCAAGGTCCTTTCCAACCCTAACTATTCTATGATTCTATTTAGGAGAAGTCACACAAGTGAACTAAACCTCTGGGGGTTTATATTTCCTGCTACAACAAAGATAAGAAATAGGTCAGGAAGTGACAGTGACGTGCAGAGAAAGGACTTTACAACCAACCGGCCAATTAGAGTTGTAAAGTAGGTACGTTTATTCAGGGCTGGGTGGCACAGGGGTATCCCACCAAAGGCGTGTGTGCCATAGCCACCCATCCTCCAAACATATATAGCATTGTGGTTACATATTCATGAGATCGCCTATACGTATTAATAGCTTGTCCCCTGCTTCCTATGATAATTAGTATTTCCATAAACTCCTGCCACTGCACATGTGCAGCGCTTTTTGGTGGTGGTCATAGAGGGTCATGGGGATGAAGGCTAGCGGCTCCTCTTCGGCACTGCAAGTAACCTTTTGGTCTTGGCAGGCTCAGTTACTCCTTGGATCCTGTCTAAACCACAAAGCTGGCTTACACTTGTTCTCTTCTTTTGTGGGGCTCAGTCTCCCCATGGATTGGCTGATCTTATCTCAGGAGTTACAAATGTAGCTAACTTTTCATAAGTGTTAAGTCCCAAGCTTTGTTAACCCTTAGGCTGCACTAACAATGTGATTAAGGTATATTATCATTAATTACATTAACAATGCAAACTAATTACCCAGCCAGCAACCAGTTTTAAATCTTAGGACTCCCCTATCTCAACAGGGGGCAAAGTGGAAAGAAACCCAAACACATCAGGACTTCTGGCAAGACCCACAGTGGAACGTAACTGCTGACAGAAGTACATCTTTAAACATGACAAATGTGGCAGTCCCCTTTTGGTCCCTGTAGACTACCAGCTGTGTTGAACAAAAGGTACCCAGCACCATGTTCCAGTTAAATGGGGAAACAAGCTAGCAATGCCCTTGAGATTAAAAACATCTAAGAAGCCTGCAGCATTATCTCAATGCATGCAAACAATTAGACTTGTCCACCTTGCTGCAATCATATCCCTACTAAAAGCCAACAACTTTTCTCATGAGTTTCATATACAACCTATTAATTGAGGGATGGGGAAAGCATCCAGAAACATGCAGAAAGCTCTTTTGGTGTCACACTAGAAAAAATGTCCTTGAAACCCGAAGAAAAAGGCAGAATAATATAATTTTATTATCAGCCACCATGATCCGAGCATCTCAGCCCATGTGTAATCCTAACTACGCTAGCTAGCAAGTAGATCTGTTTTAGTACATATTTTGAAGTCAAAATAATAGTAGTAGGGACCCACTTTCAACAAAGGACAATAGTGTAACTAGCATCTTCAAAATAACCAGACCTTCAACCATGAACGCATAAACGCAAGTTTCCATAGAAATCTACACTATCTACCCTCTGGTTTTGATGCAGAGTGGGAAGAAGGTTAATTGCTGGGAAGAGATGCTACTTTGGCTTCAGACGCTAACAATATTACACCACATAAAGAACTGAAGAAACATCTCTCATAGCCCTGCTGCCACTAAACACACATTTCTATTTCTAAGTATTAAGGAAAAAATAGAAAAGAGTGCTGTCAATCCTGACAACAGAAATACCATGTTCATTTTTCAGGACCTGATCCTAGCAGCAGAACTCAAGCTAATGACTCTGTAAGAAGCAGGAATCCCAATATGCATTCAAGTGCTTTTTATCAAGATAGTTAAGCATATGTGAAGCACAAACCATCAAGGAACTCAAGTACCCAGATGAGTCCTGGGTATTGTGTGTCCTGACAGATGCATCTGTTCAGTAGCAATTCAATTATCTTTACACAGGTGTTATTAGCACCTTTATCCTAGGTAAAATGTTGTTTCTAAATAACCATCCCATTAAAATCTTCAGTTGCTTAGGATGCTAAACAAAAGCCAAGATTATAATTTTCATACTTCTGGCAACCCCATCACACTACACGTATTTTTTGACGTATGCAGTCACACAGTTAAAAAAAAAAAAGTATGCTAAAATAGATACACCAAAATAACACTTCTTAAGTTTAGCTGAGCAGCAGAACAGAGCAGCAACCTCACTGGAAGGAAACTGAACTTCTGTGATATAACCAATGAAACAGATCACATTTGGAGACAGCAAAGTTATTAATGCAGTCCTACCATCTGAAGGTGGAGAGGCAAATGTAACAGTCACTGTTTCTGTGAGAACATTCCCACTGTCTGTGGTCCACTGCAGCTGAAAGGAAAAGGATCTCAGTTCTCAGAAAGGGTGCAAGTTTGTCAACTATAGGAACACAGGCTTAAAAGGACCTGTAGCAAAACAGCCTGAAACTACATTAATTTTCTTGTAACTATGCAGCAACTTCGAAGCTCCTGGCTTACAAAAAAAGCCAACCAACCAACCCCTCAAAAAAACCCCAACCTGTAAAAGGTATTTTAACTTACACTGTACCAGGGAAGGCTAAAGTCTGCTCATGACAGTTCAAAGACTTTAAAATAGAAAATAGTCAAACCATTCGGCTAACTAACAAGGATCACTCACTCACCTGGGGAAACAGCAGTGTAGGGAGAGGGAAAAGACTGATGACACAACATCATTTAACAGTACAGTTTGTCAAAGCTGATTTTAAACCGGCAATTCCTTAGTAGTCAGCTTCATAAGTAGGAAAACTAGGATCACTGTGTATCCTTTATCACTCAACAGGTGGAAGAAAATTAAGGAACACCACATTAGAGTTACCAACCATTCTGTAAGTATCTACTTCATGCTTGCTTCACTTGCTATAAGTGCACTTATTGGTATCTACGTATTCAAAAGGTTGTGCAAGCCCTAATTTAGGCTACACCCGAGACATACTTCGTCCCCATTTTTCAGATATGGAAGAGTAACTTCTCCAAAACACAATGACAAAGTCATGAATAAGATTCTCTGATGTGTCAACTTCTCTACACCATGTGGTTTCCAGCTCATGCAGCATCATGAAGTGCTGGTACTGTATAATTTGTCAATCAACTAATAGCAACCTAACGCTGATGAGATAAATTCTGAATGAGATCAGATGGTTTTATTAATATTTAATCCAATTTTGTTCAGCCAGAGATTCCACTGAAAATACTGCTGCTGGAAACATTAAGTCATAGAGAATTTTGGATGAAACACAGCCAAGTGGTTAAAAATTAAAATACAATTTCCAGTATTTAACTGGAAAAATCAAAAAGAAACACAAAGGCCAACATACTGTTGCTGGGATACTTTCTGAATTATACACCATCTCGCCGTTCCTGAGGGACTTCTGCACTTCATGAATGTGGTTCTTGATGTCATTCACAGTGGGGAAGAAGGACAGGTTATGTCTTTCTGGCACTTCATCAGGCTTGAATAATTCTCTTTCCACATACTTTCTGTCACATGTTAAAGGACATTAAAATATGCATATATAAAATATACTGTGTTATCTCCCTCTGTTATAGAGACTCCTACCCGTCCCTCCCCTTGTTCTAACAACAAGAAAAGAGCAAGCTAGATGATCTTCTGACTCAGTTCATCTTGTTCATCTGCTAAAGAGTAGGGAGCTAAAAATCCCCATTTATTCAACTAACTTTAAAAAGGACAACAACTCTTAACAGCTACCTACAACGAAACGGAAAAAGAAGACAAAAGCTGGGAAAAATTGGTTCACATGACATATGGGGAATATATTCAGTGATGCATCCAGACTGCCCTTTAGCTGCAAACCAAATTAATCAAATGCAGAAGTAGATACAGCACTACAGACTGAGAACATGACAAAGTTCTGTACCTCAGTTGCTTCCTCACTGCATAGACCTGCTCTATTCCCTGAGACACCAGTTCTCGGATCTTGTCTGCTACTTGAGGATGAAGTCGGGAAGGCAGAATACAGTTCTCATCTCCAAGAACTTCCTCCTCCTCCTCAGGAGAAGGCACAGAAAATTGGGAGGGTGAAGAAGGGAGGCAGGATGTTTCCATTTCATGATATTGGTGGGCTTGCTGAGTGGGTAACTGTACATACCACCTGGCAAGAAGGAAAGAGTTTCTACACATAATTCTCAAGCAAAGGCAAATAACAGAGTCTCTCGGGGGTACAGTCTGACAATCAAAATCAACCTAAGTAGAATGCCTTAAGATTTTACAGTCCCTGAGCTGGAAGATACTGCATTTTAGTGCTCAGAGCCCTCTCACACCTGTCAATGCAAAATAAACCAGCTCAATTCCCCAGGTAATACAATCATTTCTATCTATTCCTTGCATGAAAACATCTGCTGAAGTTTCACAGCTTGGTGCTTAAGACATTTTCCGAATAAATACTCCAGAGCCACAGAAGTCTTATTGACATTGTGGAATTTTTTTTTTTTTCCTATTGATACTAAGCAAGAGCCTTAATAAAGTGACTAAAAAATAAAGGAAACCAAGCAAATTACTACTCTTTTTTGATTCACTTGTCAAGATAAAAGAAAAAGAAAATATGGAAGTTTCACCTGAGGACACCACCAGCATCTATCAAGTTCTTCTTCAGCATGTTGAATGCTTTCTCCTGCTCCATTCTTATGATTTTCTTGTCAATTTTAGGGTCAGTAGAAACCCTGTATTCCGGAAACTTCTGAACCTTTTTAATATAGATCCTTCCAGGGCAAGGATAAAAAAAAAATTCTCCTTCAATACACTTGTCCTTAGGGGGAGGAGGCTAAACCCCACCTACTTCATATGAGATATTAGTTTAGGGAAAGTTCAAACAGTGTTGCAGGGTGTGAGGAATCCCAAAGAGAACTATAGAATTGTTAAGCACACATCAACAGAGACTGATGCAGATGGATGCAGACAAAAACACTTGTGGCTGTCTGGAAGCCACTCAGCCAGAGTGATTTTGTACCTCAACAAAAACATTCTGTCCCTCAGTATAACACCATTTCTGAAGAGGCTTCAGCCAGCTTGAAGCCAGAATTGAGCACATACACACCTAGATGCAACTGGACAGGTAAATGCATTCTTAGCTCAGTAAGAACTGAATAAGCACCCAGGAGGATGCCCAAGAATAAGGCAAAAAACGTTAGTGTTGGATAAGGAGAAAGTCCCCAGTGAACAGGAAGAACTGTAACTGCTTCAGAAAATAGGACATGTGTTAAATTAGGATTATTGATATAAGTGTAATTAAAAGCCTGAAGGAAAAATAACAAATAGACTATAAAGTTTTAGACTAAAAACAGTCACTAAAGGAGACCACAGGAACTACATCCAGGTAGATAACAATTCACACTTGTACATCATATCCTGATGTACTGCTACTTTGCATCTGGCCAACCTATCAAATCTCAGCCTTATTCACTTTCTTCTTCCCTCTAAATGAGTATCAGCCTCAAATTAAAGGAGACAAAGCTAAGAGCTACAGTGCGTATCAGCTACCACCCCCAAACAGTGCTCTGTCAAGGCTCATAGAGAGAATACTTTTTTAGAATGCCAAGTTGCTCTTTCAGCTTTACAGACAGTTCTTACCTTGCTGGACAAGTGGCTTTGTACAGATGGCAAGAGGTGCCTTCCTGCTCACCAGCTTTTTTGGGCTGGAACCCTTTCCTCCTTGGCCCATATTGGCACTCCATTACAATGGCTCTGCTTCCTGGGAACAGAAAGTAATGTGCTCCGTTTATTCAAACGGCCACTGAAGTTATTACAATAAAACAACACTAAATAAAAGATGAGAGTTACAAAACACTTATTTGTTTACCATCAGCCTCTTCAGAAGGCAGAACACTCAAGTGTAGAAAGCATTCAAATACAGCACAAATGCTACTCTCACAGCATAAAAAGGACACAGACCATTTTCCAAAGCATTTCACAACCTTACTACACCTCACAACACTCCTGCAGAACGTATGATAGCAAATATTGGATTCTGCCCTGCTGAACACCAATACAGGATGAACAGTCTTGCAAGTTATCAAAGTAGCACGATGCTGGTAACACGTAACAGAAGCAGAATACCCAAAATAACCAAGAAAACCCACAGCTGAAGTCAAAGGTGTACTGGTTTTGGCTGTGATGGAGTTAATTTTCTTCAACATAGCCAGTACGGGGCTATGTTTTGGATTTGTGCTGAAAACAGAGTTGATAACACAGGAACGCTCTAGTTACTGCTGAGCGGTGCTTAACACAGAGTCAAGGCCTTTTCTGCTCCTCACCCCACCAGTGACCAGGCTGGGGGTGCATAAGGAGTTGGGAGGAGACTCAGCTGGGACAGCTGACCCTCAATGACCAAAGAGATACTCCACACTGTATGACATCAAGCGCAGCATGATATACTATTTATTGCTGGAGTAAGAAGCAGGAGGATATCCCAGGTTTGTCTTCCCAAGTAACTTTTATATGTGATGGAGCCCTGAGTTCCTGGAGATGGCTGAACACCTGCCTGACCACGGGAAGTGGTGAATTAATTCCTTGTTTTGCTTTGCTTGTGCACACAGCTTTTGCTTCACCTATTACACTGTTTTTATCTCAACCCACAAGTTTTCTCACTTTCACCCTTCCAATTCTCTTCCCCATGCCAGAAGGGGTGGGCTGTGTGGTGCTTAGCTGCTGGCTGGAGTTAAACCACAACAAAAACTCAGCAGCTATTTCCAGCCTCTTGTCTTACATCAATATTTCAGGCCATGCCGCCTAACAATTCTTAGCTGCAAGTCTGACCTACCTTATCTGCTAAATAACACTGTTTCAGTGTGGCATACACACACAAAAATCAGACAGGCTTAAACAAATACTGCTGAGCTATAAATTTGAAGCAAGTGACTTCATCCAGTCAGACCTCTAACAAAAGGGTAACAGGCAGAGCACTAAAGTGGTCAAGAAAGGAACTTCTTCCAGATTTCTTCCACATCATGTTTAGTTATCTTTTGTTTATAATTCATATATTTCAGTGCGCAGGCAAGGAGCTGCTTATACCATGTGATACAATCAAAACTTTTTAAAGTATCACAACAGCAACGTAATGTTTCCATAAGATATCCAATAACCTCTTGCTTTAAACTGTGACATTAAAAAATAAAAATTAAAAAAAAAAAAAATCAATAAAACAATGCAACTAAAGTTAATTTAAGAGAATTATGTATAACAAACATATTTGTTTCATTTTTAAAAACAAACTTAAAATTGAAGATCTAGGACTGAAAAGACTTCAACAGCTGTCCTGGTTTCAGCTGGCAGAGCTAATTTTCTTCCTAGTAGCTGGTACAGAACTCTCTTGGCTTTAGTCTGAGAACAACACTGATAAAACACCCTTGTTTTAGTTGCTGTTAAGTAATGTTTACCCTGATCAAGGACTTTTCAATCTCTCATGAGCTGCCACTGAGGAGGGGGCACAAGAAGCTGGGAGGGAGCAGAGCCAGGACAGCTGACCCAAACTAGTCAAAGGGATATTCCATACCACAGAGCATCATGCCCAGTACATAAACAGGGGGAACTGGCCAGGAGGCACCGACGGCTGCTCAGGGACTGGCTGGGCATCGGTCAGCGTGTGGTGAGCAATTGTATTGTGCATCAGTTGAGGTTTCTTCCGGGCACAGGGTTTATTTCTTCCTCTCTCCCTCGCTATTTCAGTTTAAAAACTGATTAACTATTATTTCAGTTATTCAACTATTCTTATCTCAGCCCATAGGTTTTTACCTTTTTTCAGATTCTCCTCCCCATCCCACTGGGGATGGGGGAAGCAAGCAAGCAGCTGCCGGCTGGGCTTAAACCATTACAGAGCTTTAACTTAGTCTTTGCTAATATAAATCTCAAGGAATTTGATGGGGTCCTTGTTTTACAAAAGTATCAACTATACAAAACGGTTATTAACAATAAGGATTTTGATGATTACTGCCTGTTTTACGCTATAGGGAGCTACTCAGCTTCTCTGTATTTTCCCACAGCTGAAGCACAGCAGGGCAGGTATTACAGACTGGTACCACTTGCAAAAAAGGGATAAATTCCTGGAGAATAATGCTTTTGTCCTGCACAGTTTAGAATTCATTTATCTGGGTTTTAAACTGCTGTTCAGTGCATCATATTTGCTGCCTCTGCTTTTCAGGTGGAAAGGATTTTAATGGATGCTTTTCATAGAAGAGTTATAAACTAAACTTAAACATATTGGAAACACAACACTTCAGATATATACACAACATCTCTTTGGGGGTCTGAGCAAAGCAAAAAAATACTAGTTTAATAAACTAAATCTCTATTGGTCTACAACTTTAAAGGAAAAAATAATGTGGTTTTGCTGTAAATATCATACTGTGGGGAAACTCATCTATCAGGCAGATCAAACAGAAAGCTAAAGATGTCTCAAAAGCATTTTGGGGAAAAAACAAAAGTGTAAATTGGCTTGGATTTGTTCTTAGCTTTCTTATACCTCAGTTTATGGCTGAAGCTTTAAAACTGGTGCTATCATTTCACTTTTTCAGTTACTTTCAGAAAAAAAACCCAACCAACAAAAAAAAAAAAATAAACCAAAACACATGCACATAACCTACATTCCAGTTATTCATGATCTCTATGGAACAATTAAAACCTGGTCATTTGATATCTGCATGAACTCTTTGTAATTTCACATATGCATTGCACGATCTAGATATGCAATTCCCAACCTATGGAATCTGCACATTCATTTTAAAACCCCAAAATCTGTCTGCTGAGGTATGCTGATGTTTATTTTGTTCTTTTACATTTGTTGTTTTTCAAAGGGCCCCATTTAAACAGTTCATTGGCTCGTATGGAATAAAATCTTCAAAGGACCTCCAAGTTAGGCAAGACTACTCAAATAAGCTCTTACCCTTACAAGAACTTTCACATCCTGATAGAGCAGGTGGGACCTCCACCTAAAGATCACATCACAAAAACTCCCATCAAATAGTACTTAACTAATTTATTTCTCAAGAACAAAAGGAAATAATCACAGCAAAACATAATCCTGCAGTTTCAAGGAAACAAGCTCCTCCTGACTGTCACAGAAGAGCCCAAGCTGCTCTTCTTGTATGTTTGTGCCTTGACTTCACCAGCACTAAGGAACACCATATAGACCCTTCTTTAAGGCCAGTTGACACCCCATGTTGAAATTTTGAAAGCAGTTATTAGAATAAAAGTTAGTTACCTGCATTGACAAAGGGGATCCCATCATATGGGACATACTGAGATTTCCACATCAACCGTGTGGCGGGTTTGGCTGGGCTTGGAGACTGGCGCGTCCCCCACACACTTTGTGTTTGCTGCTTGTGTAGTGTTAGAACACTCTCTAATTCTGTCTCGCTCACACAATAGCCGCGGTATGAGTCCCCAATTTTCTGCATGGAAAGGAGGTGAAATAATAGGATTATTCACCCAGATGACTGCTGAACATTGCACAAGAAAACAAAAGCAGTCAGGGACCCTGGCAGGTGAGGACACAGGCCCAGATTTTTGGCATGTCATCATTTTTTTCCCCACACTATTATCCTTTACAAATAGATTTACCACAGGATCTAACACCAGAGCAGTCCCCACTGAGGTCAGGAGTTTGTCAGCTCTCCAAGACCCTAAATACACCAAGAACCCCTGAGAAGATTACAGTTACTGACCCTGTCTAATTTCCACAGGACAACTTCACTCCTGGTGTTTCCCCCAACACACGCTTCAGTTGCTCCTAGACAAGTTTGTCTTAGACAAACTTTTTCACTTGACTCTCACTAAGAATTGCTCAAGCACTAAAAATTGTCTATGCATCTACTTCAACACACACACTGCACTGAGCTGGAGCAGAATCCATCTGCTTATACTACCAGTAATTGCCTCACCTGCTTACTGCACTAACTTCAAATTGAATGTCTCACAGAACACCTCCTCCAGTCTTCAAGGCACTCTCAGTTCTCAACATTCCACAGAAACACAGCATACCAGATCTGCCTTGTGCATACTGATGATGGTTTCAGTGAACTCTGCCAAGCTGCACACAACTCCAGAAAAACAGCATCTAACTTGACTCAAAGTAAAAAACCCAAACAAACCCAAAACACAACAACAAAAAAAGCACAACTTGCTGACTTTGCAACATCCCCTGTGACAGCTGTTCAGCTACTTGGAGCCATCACAGCTGGTTCAGTGCTGATCTACCAGAGACTGCCAGCAAGCAGAGAAAGCACTGGGACAGAGAAGAGCTTTTCATCAGAATTCTTAATGCCATGCTCACTTCTGTTCATATGTAGCTCAGGATCAGGCTGACAAGCAGCTGGGAGTAACACTAGGTTTGCCAGCTGTTTTACAGCATATCTGTAAGACAAACGCATAGTGAATGAGGACTAAACTGATGGATCTATTTTGCCACCTTCACTGATAGTGCAGCCTGTTGTTTAATACTGACAACAAAAGCAGCAACAGTGTCTCTCCAAGACTATTACTGCACAAATACTTTAGGGACAACTTTATAAAACCTGCCTTTTACCTAAGTAAAACAATGTTTGTCATTAGCAAGAGCTAAAGTCAACAAAGAACAAACAAACACCTTGTGAATGAGCTGGGCCAGCACAGTGTTGCTGTTAGGTTAAGCCCAAAAGCAGAGGATTATGTATGCACTGGATGCACGAGTCATTCTGAGACAGCAGCTGCTTGCTCTTCAGCACTGCTGCAAGCATACCGCTCCACCTATTACACCTATAGGTGCACTCCCACAGCTGTGGTGAGGAAGAGAAGTTGACAACTGCTCAGCCAGAAATTATAAATAATATTTCTGTCCAAAACTTGATCTGAAAAACCCAGAAGCAACAAAGCAGCCTGAGAAGTACCAGAAGTACCTTCTTTACAGAAACCTGGGGTGGCAGCTTTCACAAGAAGGATTACAGTACCATGCCACACAGGGAATAATGCATGACCAGCATTTTTCTTTCCATATCTTATACCTGTCACTATAAATAAGTCACTGACCTTATCTTAGCGAGATGACAAGACTGATAAAACTGTTGTGATAACAGCTAAGGCACTGGCTCCTATTCTGGCTTTACTTATGTGCTAGATCATTTTCCTAAAATTGGTGGGAGGGGATTAGGAGGAGAAGAAAATCATACAGCACGTAAGATCCCTCCTCTCTAGGGGCTTCCAAAGTAGGAACAAATGGACAAATGAGACCATCTGCTCCAGAAAAATAAATGAACTTAACTTTGTACAGTTGATATTAATTAATGTAGTTTTTAATGACACTGTTTCAGTATGCTGATAAATGCTGGAAATGCAAAAGATCAGGCCATTGAAAACTAAGTAGGTTATAGAAAATAACTATTTTTTTATATCCACTTTTTATTAGTGATATAATTACCTTGAGGTACTCTCCAATCCTTTAACTCCAGTGAAGCTTCAAGCAAAAAAAAAGAGGCAATTCCTTTCCTCTCCCCTGGCCTCATCTCAGCAAGGGTACATAAAAGCTTACACTAAAGTACACACACCAAGACTGCAGTTTTCCTCGAGTGAGCTACAGCAGCAGGATACCAGAGGCATTACTCTGTAGGCATAGCAAGTATGAGGCGAAGATTTCAAGGCAGTCAGTGAATCAATACCAAACACAGAGCTTAGTGCTGACTCTGAACAGCTGCAGCTTTTAGTGCTCTCTGCCTGCAGTACTAACTGCCAAAGGAGTCATTGCCCTTCGGAGCACAGTACTAGCTGGCTCCCTGGGATATATATATTGTATGAAATAAAAGCTGTGTGTATATACACACATATATATAAAAGATCTTTATATATAGTTAATTTTTTAAATATTCTTATTTTAAAAATATTTCTAAGTGGATACAGCAAGAAATTAAATTTCTAAGTCCCTGCAACTGTAATTTCGAGTTACCAGTGGCCAAGCCAACAGGAAAAACCTCAAATGGTAGGGGTCTCTACAGAGGTGAATTAGCTAGAGAAAACATGAGTTTCCCTTTAAAAAATATTAAGAGAAAGTAAAATAAACATCTATCAGGAAGAGCCTGGTGGCAGGAGGAACGGGTAGGTGATCTCTCCACAATCTTCCCATCTCCCTTCCCTTCTTTTTAAGTGATTTATGATGCATTTCAGCTATTTATAACATCCCAATCATCAGAACAGTTCTTCAGACATCTAACAATATGCAGAGAGCTCTGTTTGGGTCAAAAGCCATCCCAAGGAATAAAGACAGATCACATTGTAATAAAAGAGAAACCAAGCACAGGTAACCATGCTGATACAAAAAAACAAAAATCAAAAAACAACCCCAAACCAACCAAACTTGAGAATATCTAAAATAGAAATCCTTAGTAAAACATTGATATTAAGGAGCTCCAAGTCTCAGATTTGATCCTGGTAAGTCACATAGATTTTGATTTCCATATGACAACACAAACTAATACAAACACTTGCAGACAGGCCATTTTATTCTCAATGGATCACTAAGGGCAACAAAAACCAATCTGCTCAGCAGAAGACAGCAAAGCTTACACTATAGCTCACAAGTGAACTCTAACATGACAAACAATGGCTTTTCCCAGCACTGCACAGCATCAAGATTTCAGAAGCATGGTTTTTTGCTTCAGGAGCTGTTGATGGTCAGTTATTCTAGAATTCCCAAAAAAGGAAGGGATTCCACAGCATTTTATGTGTCTAAATGTGGTGGTAGTACCAGCTAGTACCAGTAGTATTTCATAATATCAGGAAGCTTGAACACAACTTCTACCACTGTCAATTATTCTCTTCATGGAACTGGATCAGCATCTTAGATCCAGATGACAAAACATCAAGTGAGAATTATTTGCAGCCTACCTCACAGCTCCTGAGACGGTGTGCCCATGCAGGTGTATTTGGTGGCAACAGCTGGAGAGGGATGGGAAAGGGATCTTCCACTACCCTGAAAAACAAAAACACATAGTAAAAGTCTACACTGACATACAAGAAAGCAACCAGTTTAAACAGCAGGTAACAGCAAATCAGTGCATTATGTCATCCTGGGTTCAGCTGCAAGGTGGTTTTCTTCTTTGTAGCTGGTACAGTGCTGTGTTTTCGACTTTAGTCTGAGAACAATGCTGGTAACACCAATGTTTTCAGTTGTTGCTAAGTAATGCTTACCCTGATCAAGGACTTTTAGTCTCATGCTCTGCCAATGAGGAGGGGCATGGGAAGCTAGGAAGAAGCAGAGACAGGACACCTGACCCAAACTAGCCAAAGGGGTATTCCGCACCACAGCACATCACGGCCAGTATATAACTGGGAGAAATTATCTGGAAGGCCCAGATGGCTGCTTGGGTCAGGCTGGGTATCGGTCAGTGGGTGGTAAGCAACTGTATTGTCTACAAACATCACTTGCGTTTATTGTTTTCTTTTCCTTTTCCCCTTTTAGTTTCATGTTCTCTCTCCTTATTATTTCCCTTATCATTATTAGTGGTAGTAGTAATAGTTTTGTACTGTACCTTAGTTACTTGACTGCTCTTATCTCAACCCATGTAATCACTTTCAACTCCTGGTTGGCAGTATCAATGTCCCTTTAAGTAATTTCAGTAATTTGCATTGTTATTTTAAGTGCACATCTACTGCTCTGGTCAGAATATATCCAACTACCTCTGGAATACAGGTCCTTTAAGTGACTTTTCCGGTGCTCTGGCATGTACAAAAGCTGCCTGCAAACACAGTTAGCTACAAATCACTCACTAGTACTGAGGGTTCACAACCTCTCTTCTAAGGTAATTTTGTGATAACCATTGCAAAAACAAAGTGCAAGAAAGCAAAAGCACTACTAGCAGGGATCAGAAATATTGTCCATCATTTTACCTCCTGACCTACCTGGTGGTTGTTTTTTTTGATACAGTGAGAGATGCCTGTGGATGTAGAATGTAACTGCTTCCACTGTCTGCTATAGCGGCCACCACTACAGTCTGCAAGTTCCCATCACCACACTTCTCCTCTGAAACATCTTTATAAAAATAAAACAGCCTCCTGGTTAACAACTGAACTCAGAATGAGGAAATAAGCTATGATTAAACTTTGTGTTGGAAGAGCAAGCATTTTGACATACAAAATAAGATCTCTAGATGATAAGGTGGTTTAACAGTTGTGAATCAATACTTAAACTCTAAGCACACATACAGAGATACACTTGATAAGGTTGTTTATCCTCAAGGACAAATCATGTTACTGCTAATGAAACCTTCCATAACCAAGCAAATAATCTTAAGAACGTGTACATTACTCTGCTTTACATTCCCATAAATCCTTATAGGATTGCACAACTATTTTGTTCAGCTGCAAATCACACAGTGATTGCTTTTGAAATAAGAAAAAAGGAGATTACAACACTGCTTTTTGCTTGGAAAGAAGGCCCAAACAAATAAAATAGGCCTCTTGTAATTGAACCTTACATGGTATTGGAACAAATGCTTTAGCCTTTCTTCATAACAGGGAGCAATCCGTAAGCCAAAAAATGCTGTTAGAATGAAGCCTGCATATATAGTTAAACAAAAACATAATGCAAAACTGTGAAAGCAGGCATTTGATACTTTGGTCTCAACATAAAGAAATGGGAGCTCTCTTTAGAAGCAGGATTTTTGTCCCTCTATTATGAAAGCTTTTTCCCCCCATCCCAAGAGACAGTGATAAATTACTGTCTAAATACAGAAATCACTCCACTAAGAAAGGTTGTGCTAGGAGATTTGTAAGTGTGCACCTTGCATAAACAGCACGCTGGTTCAAAGCTCAGAGCACTGGTTCCTCTACACAGACATGCCCTTAAGACACTACAGTGTACTCTGAAGCCCTGTGCCATTGCATGCATTACCACCATGTGCAGGGAAGCGAAACTCAAGGGCCAGCAGTCCAATTTCTTTCCCCTTTAATCTCCATAGTATATCACTAACAAGTCTTGTCTGTCTTTCAAAGACCAAATAACTCCAAAGAGTTTTACACAGCAAGTCTCCAGAAAAACAAACCAATCAAACACAATCACAAACCCCCCTGTAGAATATATATTCAAATACCACAAAACTGAGCTACCTACAAAGATGGAAGAGTGTTTAAGACAAAAAATAGGAATACAAAAATACTATTCATCATTGCAATTTACTGCCTACAAAAAGTAGCAGCAATTCTTTAGTAACTAAAGGCTCACAGTCAGCTTAAAGTCACGTAAGACAACACTAACTAAACAGTAGTCTTACTCCTATGTAAGAGCACGTGGAGAGGAAGAAAAACACGAGCATTAGGTTAGGAGCAAGCCTTTCAATGCAAGGTCGTGAAACCATATTCCAGTTGCCAGTGAAAAGGGCTGGATCATGACTTGAATCTGAATTCTTTTTATTCTATCCACCCAGCCTCAGGACTTGAGTCTTACCTTTGAGCTCTCATTGCACAGAAGCACTTAACTAGTCCTCAGATATGGAGAATTTTCTCAGATTTTGAGGACTTCATACAGAAAATGCAAAGACAGTTAAAAAAAAACCTAAAACCTTGGAGAGTTTAACAAAATGTGACACAATCTAGCTCTCAATCTTATTATGTGAATGGAAACTAGTACACAGCATTTTGCACCCAGCAACGCTTGCAGATAAATAATCAATGCTTTCAGATTTCAGTATGTCCCTTTTCTAGCGAGAAGCTTAAAACCTGTGCTTCTAGTTATGCATCTCGACATACACTTAGAGTGTGACAATTAACACACTGAGGGGAATAAACTTAGCAATAAAGTTAAAGTTACATATCATTTTCTTCAATGGGAACTGCATTTCTACCTAGGAACTTCATTCCTCGCTTTTCAAAAGCTGCATTATCACCAGTGATATCTGGAACAGACCAGAATAACATTAATTCTTCTCCCTGCATTAACTACTTCACTCAAAATTAAGTAAACAGTGGAGATCTGAAACTGATAGTACAGCTATCTGACTTGGCACAAACATCCTTATCAATGGTAAAGAAGGCAAGAAGCAGTTTGTGCTTAATATCTCAATCTATCCATCATATATCTAAAGTGAGCATAACAGCTTTTACTTCATGAGGCTTTTGCCAAACAGAAAACGTGGTGTGTGGGGTGCCAGATTCATAATCAGAAAGCAAATTTCATAAGTATGTATGTTTGTCTTATAACTGATAAGGAAAGGAAATACATACAAAGAAGATGCTTAAAAAGACATGATGCAGGATATGTTTAGTCACAGGAACACACACTCTCAAGTCCCACAGGTTAAACTCACCCTGCGTGCTGGTCACATCCAAAAGTTGGCCTTGAGGAATAATCACTTGGGCCATTCCTGGCTGGGTAGTAGGGATGACATGCAGCACCTGTCCATTTTCTGACTGGCTGGCAACAATCATCTGTAAGGCAATCACACAAAAGTATGAATGGCATTAGTTTGTATGGTGATCATCATGCAGCACAACTGGGTTTGCTTATTACCAGAACAGGAAATATTTTGGTTGCAATTATGGCATATAAATTAACATGATTTTATATAATAAAACCCCTGCCTATTTACTGTCCATTTCTTAAAATTACTCTCCCTCTTTTAAAATAGCTCTTTAATTAATTAAAGGGGAAAAAAAAAACAAACAACAAAAGAACCCCAAACCCACCCTCAGTGGATTCTACAATGAATTACACATTTATTTGAATCTTACACACTATTATTAAAGTTATCAAAAACCTGAAAGCCATTCATGGATTCACTGTGACCCCATTCTGGACTAGCAGAATTAATCACAACATATCGAATGTTGACCTTTACTCCTAAGAAACTGAACTCTATGCAAAAAATGACAGAAGAAAAGCTCCAGGACTTTAAAAATAAATAAATAAATTCTCCTAGAATTCTGGAAAACCTGTACAACTCCTTATGGTATATTTTCCCATATTTACCACTGACTTGTTCCCAACAATGTTACAAAGCCTACAATAACATAAAATATCATCTTGTTTCTAATTTCTTACACTTTAAATGGTGGAACAGTTTTTAGTAACAGCACAACACATGCCAACCAAGCCTTCTAGGCTAGAATTACCTTTTTACAAAGTAAGTGTTAAGAATTACAAGTAATGCTTTAAGCACATTAATTGCAGGCGGGTGGGAGGGAAGGAGAGACATATGGGTTAGCTTGTTGCTAATGTTCTAATCCCCACCCAGAAAACACAGATACACTTATTTCAGGGAACATCGGTAAAGCAGCAGTGGGAGAAGTATGAGATCTCATCGCACAGCTACATCCAGGCTTGATAATGACAAAAGACTAAGTTGTTTAATAAAATTAGTAATGGCTGGAAACAGGATTTGCCTACCTGAGGAAGAACAACTGCAGCATGAAGTGAACCACTGAAAAGTTTCACCTCCTTGCTAAAGTCTGAATCAGCTGTTGCTACAACAAACAAGCACCTTGTAAAAGAGTTTTTCAAAGAGCATCCTTGCCTCTCACACCTGACCTCTTTTCAGACAACTCACCATCGGTGCAGTGGGCCCTCCGAGGGGCTGCAGCTCATAGAGAGGCTGCCCCGTTTGGTCCACCAGGTGGGAGTCCTCTGTGGAGTGAGGCTGGGGTGGCAGGGCAGGCACAGCTGATGATGGAGAGCCCAAGAGGTGTACTGTGATGGGTAAGACTGGAGGAGAGTCACTCTGTCCAAACAATGGATCCCTGGAATCCATGCAGGTTAAATGCTTTCACAGAGGAAAAACAGTAAAATGTACTTTAATCTTGAGTAGAAATTTCTATTAAAGAAAAGAAAAATTGAAAAAGAAGGAAAGAAAGAAAGGAAAAAACATTTTAACCCAGTGTGCTGTATTGTATACTTGGAGGGAGCTCTCGTCCTTCTGATCAAGAGGCTACCAGCTAACACTACAGCTCTATTTTTTGCTTTCCATTTCTGATGAAAATGTATTCATGTTTCTGCTTCCTAGAACAAACCCTCTCTATTAAAGGGAAAGACAATCCCTTGTGACCAAAATCTGTTCCCTAAAACCATCATATCTACCCAGAATCTGAAAGAACTTATACCAAAACTGTCAAATACCTACCAACCTCATTTGACTTCAAAAGAAGTCCTAGACACTATTCCACTTCACCTTTACATACATGTATTTAGTTATGAAAACTAAAATTTCTACAAGTTTCGTTGATTCTTTACCACAAAATAAACATAAGCAACTCAAACCTTCCAATTCAAGGCCAAGAACTATACAGCACAAGACCAAGAATCAGATTTTGCAAGTCTCAAAAAATATGTACTCAGAGCTTATACTCCCCAAGCTTGCAGAATCAAGGTCTTAAAGCACATCCCATTTTGATTAAATTTAAACTTCAAGCACAAATGTCTTGTTGAAATTCTGACAACAGAAATATTGAACATGTAAAAATAACTGCAAACAGGCAGCCCACATGTATAATGTGTCAGGCTGTCATTTGGTCGATGCAAGGAGGAGTGCAGTTCATGTTATCTCTTGCAGCAATCACACAATCAACTGACATTTCTGCTGCAAAAATTTGTAAACTGTAAATCCAAAGAGTGGGGAAGAACGTTTCCAAATTTAATATTGAAGTCAGACCTGAGCCAAATAACCTAAAAATCCTTCAAGAATAAATCTGTGCTAAACCTGTCTATTGTAAACTCCACCAGAAAAGCAGCAAAAAATTGCACTAGTTATGTTAAAGACACTGTGCAGAGACCTTAAGCGTGCTACTGAATCATTACCTGAATCATATTTTGTCTTAGCTGAAGTAATGCAGAACATTTATGCACAGAAATCTGACTAGAAGTATCTGGTGATATTTGATAATGAATACATTAAACACTCCCCTTCCCCAATACCTACACAGGCATCCTGTGTCTGGATTATTTGCCACATTTGGTCACTAAGCAATTTAACCCAATGTTCAATTCATTAGCCGAATCTGTCATGCAGCCATCTTGAAGTAAATTACATCTGTTTTAAAGGGTTATAAAACAACATATAATGACATGAAATTACTACTGTTAGTCTACAGCAGGAAGCTTTGGGAAGGAAAAACAACAGATTCTCAATCACTCTTACTCCAAGGCATGTCACGAAGTACTCTTTTATTAAAGGATTTTTCTAACACAATAAAACATATTTCTTCAGCACTGTAACAGGTTCCATTAATACAATTACTAAAGGTTGTCGTTACATGCAACATCTGGATATTCATCAGTTCAAAACCAAATGGCACAAGAACCCAAGGGAAGGAACTTTTGCACTTTTTAAAAGACACAATGTACTACTATAAAGGCCGGGGAAAAAAACACTTCGATGAAATAACATACTGCAGGTTCATTAGAGAGGATGTAAAGAAAGTATCTACAAAGACAGGACATCCATACCTCACCTGAAAAACCTGATCCTTTGTTTCTGACTCTCCTGTACCATTACAGTTGCCTATGAACAAATCATTAGATCCTTCCATAGCAATGTCATGGTCAGCTCCATTTTCTTCCATTACAAGGTGACCTGAAAAAGTTACGAAATTTTATTTCAGCCTTCTGTACTTTAGCCTCAATCAAGACATTGCTTCAGGATTTTCTTTTGTCCTACAAATTTAGTCTTACAAGTTCTAACACTGTTGCAAGCTAACAGCAAAGCCCTCAAGAAATCCCTGCCTGTTTATCACTTTATTACTCACTGCAGAAAAATTTCCATGTGTTGCTCTAGGAGTGTAGTTTAGTGTCTTGTATAAGAATTTGCTAGACTTGTCTTTGCATACACAGATATAAAACACACATACACATTCATGATTTAACCTAAGTATATCCACAAGCATTCAACAACCATACACATCTAGAGAACACTCAATATTTAAAGATATGCCAGCACTGCTTTACAAAAATATTACTCATCTACTTCCATAATCAACAGACAGGATTTGTGTTACCCAAATCTGTCATGCAGCCATCTTGAAATAGATTGTTTGTTTTAAAGGGATATAAACCAACATCTAAATGAAATTACTATTGTTAGTCTACAGCAGTAAGCTTTAGGCACGAAAAATGCCAGATACACTAAATAAAATTTGGCATTAATTGTGATGAAACAGAAAAAGGCACTACTTCAAGGACCTCAGTTGCCCACAATAAACCATCAAGCAAACAGAATTTTGGACAGTGAATTGCTACATCCACAGGACACCCAAACAGTACACCCTTTAAAAGAGAGACCAATCGCACATATTCACCAGCAGTGAGACAAAAATGACAAATTAACTTGGCTCCTATGTTACTACAGTACATATATACTAGACTACATGCATGATATGCCAAACTGAATAACTTAATTCCTGCAGTTTGGAGTGAGGGAGGAGGAAAGGTGTTCAGGATTTTTCCCTTCAGTAGTTATTTTAAAGACAGGCAGCATTACACAAGCATGTGGCTCCTACCAGCTTTATCTTCTTCACTACACCACATAGAAGGGGTCCTGAAATGGACCTTCTTGGCTGTGATATTTTAACTGTTTACAACTTTAGTAAAAGGCTAGAAAATCACTCAAAAAGAACTACAACCCTTGAAGGACAAACTTATCTTGCTTTGCAAAGATACAAAGGACCACAGGCAAAGTTAATCTACATCTCCTTGGCTTTTGAAGCTGAATAAAGCACCCTGCTGATACAAACAACATTGAGAAATTAAGCTGCTCATATGCTCAATACACTAAATACTTTAATCTAAAGCAGATTTATTTTTCCATTTGCTTTTCAAGTGATGACACTCCAAAACCAAGTTCCAAATGAAGTTACCTCATGCTCACCAATCAAAAACCTTTGGATCTGAGAACAATTCTGAGCTGCTTCAGTTAAAGTGTCTGAAGCATGTTAGCGGCATATGAAAAAAGGCAGAAAGCTAGATTTCATCATCACCCCACCATTTTCCCTCAGTTAAAAGATTTCAAGAAGATATGTCAGTTTTGCCAAAGCAGCACATCTAGTTCTCCAAGATAAACTGAAGAGGTTTGTTCCAGAGATACCAATGGCATGTACCCTTAAGCATATATCCAGCTACAGAACACAAGGATCGCTGTACTGGGACAGACCCACAGCCCAATGTCCTGTATCTAACACTGGTTAATAATAAAGCTCAGGGGAAAGATTACAGCAGTAGGGCAAATATACAGTGATGTTTATCCCGCTTCCTCTCACAAGCAGCCCAGAAATAGCTGAAGTTTTATCTTTATGTTTAAAAAAATCCCTGTGGTACTTTTTTGCCTGTGATGTTGTCTGACCACTGCTCTAACCAGGCACATACATCACCCTGCACAATGAACTCCATGGTTTAACCATCCAGGTTTCATTAACTTGAGTGTTGTGCAACCCCAAGCAAAAAGATATTTTTGTCTGGAAGAAATACACTGTTACAGATACTTAAAAGTAAATACATAGGTAATTAATTAAATAACTGTATAATTATTGTGAACAGATTGCCCAAACAAGACAGTTAAATTCTGTATACATAAATGTGTGGATATTTTGTCATGAATGAGTAAACAACATACATACAAGTAGCTCTTCATATACTCTTTACATAAGTGCCACAAAAATTTCCAGTGTAACACCATCATATCCCACGTTTAACAATGGGCTGAAGGGAAACACGGGAGTTTAATATTAGTGTAGAATATAGCTGTATCATCAGTACATACATCAAACAGACAGCTCTTTATGCCTCAGCTTTAGCCTTAACCCAAACCACTCTACAGGCTGCCCTCCATGAAGTCTACCACTCCAAGGCAGTTTCCAACCCAGTTAGCACCACTTTGTTTGCTCTGCCTCCCTTTGGGAAGCACTCTGCTCAAAATAAAGGGAAAACTATGGCTATTGCTATCCTTGGTTCAACTCTACAAAGACAGTAAGCAACCACAGAAGCAGCAAGCACAGGCAAATGGAATTAACCATCACGAGCATTTTATGTAGGATCTTCAAGACAGCAAACATGCACTGCAATCTAGCTTACAATTACCATCTGTGGTTCAATTCCACAGACAAATTGGCTGATAGTTCAAGATCATTTAGCAAAACACAGGAGGCAGCAAGATCTCCATTTATTTAGCCATCAAGAATTGCCATGATAACACAGCTGTCAAAGCCAGGGGCACCTCTTGCATATGCTAGGTCTTCACTGGCTGGTATCCACATACACAACTTGTGTAACATCAGGAACTGTCAGCAGGAGCAGGATTTCTTGCTCTGAGGTGAGCTTTTCTCCTAACAGTTGCAATCTCCTCTGTAATGGAGAAGCCCTCATACTGATTCTCAATATACAAACTTTTAAAGACAATAACAGAAAAGTCAAGCTGACATTACTTTAAAATCCTATCATTGACCAGTCACGCCTCTGCTCTGCCTTAAGGCAAAGTATTTGACTTCTATTTTCTTGCCTCCAATCCTTTATTCTATGTAACGCCTATACCTACGAACTACAAGCAGTGGTCCCTAAAAATACACCAGATTTGATTGACATAATTGTAAGGCCTTCTATGAATGCCTGCTTCTACCTTCCCTCAGTTATGAGGCCCCATTGTAAAGTCAACGTGCACCCAAATCCCACAGGGAAGTGCAGCCTTTTGAAATCACAGGACTAATTATTTTAACACCGAGTCAACATTGGAAGATGTTAGTAATAAGAAGAAACCTAAACTGTAGAAACCAGGTAAGTCTGTTATGATAATAAGTGCATCCTACCTAGGAATACCTGTCCAGGCAGGAAGGAGGCAATTCTCTTAACAGTTTTGAAGATTCAAGTCTTCAATGCATACCCATTAAAACCAAAAGAGAATCAGAGCTTGACAGTGTAAGTTCATGTTTTCAGCAGTTCTGACAGCAATATTCCCCATTCCAGTTTTATTTTATACTTTTTGACAGGAAATATGTACAGTATAATGCCTCACCCACAATCTTTCTTGGGATTTCCATTAAATGCTTAGAGGTTTTTTGTAATGATTTTAGATAATTGCATTGCTCACAACAATTAAACACTCTCTCTGAAAAAGTTACCTCTGACGATGTATCTCTACCATCATTATGAAGGACATGGACTACAGTAAAACTCAACAGGAAGAAAATCAGGGCATAGTGATAGTAAACGAGTTACACTTAGCTTTATATTAACTTGTACCAGGTTTGAGACTTAGCTTCTTCCTGTCATAGAAGAGCAGGTACATAGGGTTAAGAGTGCACAGAAGGTCTAGGGACTCCTGCCTAAAAGGTCTCCCCAGTTGGTTTTGTGCAGTTAACACAAGTACCTGGAAAACGCAACTCTGTCAATCATGCTGACCGCGTCAGACCTTTTAATTACACTTAAGAAAGAGATGAGATGTCAGAGTCCCACAAAACCCTGGCCAGCTCTAGCAAGCTGCCCCAACGGGAGTCACCACACAGGGAAAGCTCAACTGCTCCCTGAGAGGCCACAAGCATCTGTCAAAAAAGCAGAGGAAGCGCGCATATAAACCGAACACGCAGCGGGTACTCACACAAGCAGCCTTCTCTCCAAAGACCTAATTCCCTTACAGCTTCTTTTAAAGTCCGGATGCGTCCCTTTACATGCAAAGAAACACAACCTACACCCAGACGACACCAGCAGCAGCGAACGCTCCCGCTCCCGACTACAGCAGCGCCGCAGGGAACTGCTCACCGCCACAAAGCCGGTACGACGGGGTGGGCCGGGCTGCGCAGTGCCGTAGGGAACCCCCGCTGCAGCGGCGCAAGGGCCTGCGAGTGCCTCAGGGAAAACGCTCCTCAGCCTCCTCCTCAGGGGAGCCGGGGGCGCCCCACACCATCAGCGCCATGCCTCCCACAGCGGCTACAGTCCCCCACCCACCACCCCCACTACTACTACTACCTCCCCAAGAGGAGAGCGCTCCCGAAGCCCGGTCGGCCCTGCCGCCGCCAGCTCCGCGGGGAGTAGCGGAGCGCCCAGAAGGGGTATACTCAACCTCGGCTCTGCTCCGGCAGTCACCGCCATGCACTGCACACCGCCCCTCCGCGCAAGCGCGCTCTCTAGGCGGGAGGTGCGAGGGGGCGCCGGGAAGGGCCCGCGTGAGGCATGCTGGGTGCTGTAGTCTCCGCCGCTACCCGGCGCCGCGCAGCCCGCTGTGCGCACGGCCGGCGGCGGCTGCAGCAGCTCCAGCAGCGGTAGCAGCAGCGGCTGAGCGAGGCCGGGCCAGCCGGGCCGAGGGAAAGAGCCTCGGCGGGGCCGGAGCGCTGCCGGCAGGCGGGTGGGAGGCGGTGCCCCGGGGGCGGGCACGGCTAATCGCGGCACGTGGTCGGGCGCAGCAGCATCATGGCGCAGCTCACGGCGCGGTTTCGCACCGAGAACCGCAGGTGAGCGGGCGCCCGCCTGGGCCTGGGGGGTGTGCGGTGGGTTTGGGGCGAGAGTAACGCAGAGGCGGTAACGGCGCTGTGTGCCCGCAGGTACGCGGTGGAGGATGTGCCCTTCTCGGTGCCTGCGGCCTCCGAGACCACAGACCTCAGCCAGCTCATCAACAAGCTGCTGGCGGCCGGCAACGGTAGGTACCGGGACCGGGTCTGGCTTAGGGCCTGCTCTGCCATGGGGTGATAAGTTCCACTTACTGCCCCTGTTTCTGACCGCATGCGCCGTCTGAAGCCGCCCGCTGCCCGCTGCACCGAGCGAGTCGGGCTGAGCTTGACTTTTTGTAGTGCATGGGGCTGCAAGCGAGACGGCTCAGGGCAGACCCGGGCAAGGAAACGTGCTGTCAGAGTCAGAAGCAGCACCCTGGTACCCACAGGCCCCTCAACCCTAGCTGCTCTTGCCTTTCTGTTCTGTTCTGGCCACCCGGAGTAAGGCACACTTTGAACTCATCAGATAGCAGTGATGGTGGGCAGTTCCAAGAGAAAAGCTGGACTAGTGTTTGCCCAGCACCACAGACCAAGCTACCCCAGCAAATGGTAATTGAAGAATTCTCCAAACCCTGGCAAAACTAATGAAAAAAACCAAAGGTTTTTGGTTGTTAGGAAAGCCTTTGAGAAGAGCTCCACCATTTTGCAAATGCCAGCTGACATGGGCCTGACTGACTTGAAAGATTTTTTGGGGAAAAGACACCTATGGAATGTTAAGAAATCCCATTTTCCATGACAAAGTAGACTAACTGTATTCCAAACTGCTGAGACTTCTACTAGTTGCTTTTAACTCATGAAATTGCAAGCAACCTGGAAAACTAGTGCACAAAGCAATGCTTTTGTTGAAATACGGGGCCTGTGTCAACTGTGCCGTTACAGAGGAAGAAATATGAACCCAAATTTCTGCTGCCTCAGATAGAGGCCTCTAGCTAGCAGTGATAAAGATGAGAGCTAGCAGTGGCAACGTCTGTACAGGACAGTGGTGAAGCACTGCTGTGGTTTGGTTAGCTACAGAGAAAAGGATTTAAAAAGTGGTGCTGTTCTGGATGGTGTCTGGTAGGTGCTGACACCTGGACATGGATTTTTCCTAATGTGTTTCAGCGGATCACAAATATGTGGAA